GAGGTTTTCATTCACAAATTGCCACTTTTTTATGAACTTGCAGGGAGCCCTTAGAGTAGGACAAGTGGTTATAGAGAGGAAACGGAATAACATGTAGCTAGAATACAGGTAATCCTTGATTTAACAACAGTGAAAAAAGTGACTTATGACCATTTCTGACACTTGTGACCCTTGCAGCATCCCCATGGTCACATGATCTTGGCGACTGGCCTGTATTTATGATGGTCGCACCGTCCCAGAGCCCTGTGATTCCCCATTGGTGACCTTCCCTGACTTCTGACAAGCAGAGTCAATGGAGGAAGCCAGACTGGCTTCATGACCAAATGGTTCATTTAGCAACTGCAGTGATTCACCTAACAACTCTGGCAAGGAAGGTCATAAAATGGGACAAACTCGCTTAACAACTCTCTTGTCTTGGAAATTTTAGGCTCAATTGTTTTCCCGAAAATAAGACCCTGCCTTATATTTTTCTGAACCCTGAAATAAGCACTTGGCTTTATTGCCATGCGCTCAAAAGCCCGATTGGGCTTATTATCAGGGGATGTCTTATTTTGGGGGAACAGGGTAGATAATAGGTAGATAAATGATAGATAGATAGATAGATAGATAGATAGATAGATAGATAGATAGATAGATAACCGTGTTTTCCCGAAAATAAGATCCCGTGTTATATTTTTCTGAACCCTGAAATAAGCACTTGGCCTTACTGCCATGCGCTCAAAAGCCCGATTTGGCTTATTACCAGGGAAATGTCTTATTTTGGGGGAAACAGGGTATATAACTGTAATGTGGAGGGTGCATGAGAGAAGAAGAGAAAAGGCTAAAGCTTGCAGCCCGAAGAGCCAGAGGAAGGGACCCCGTGGTTTGGCTTCTCCTATGAACTTGCAGGCTGCTTCCCTGGGGCCATCTCGCCTGGCTCCTAAGCCATGGTCATGGTCTTTCTATAGTTCAGTGTTTCTCAACCTTGGTAGCTTGAAGATGGGTGGACTTCAACTCCCAGAATCCCCCAGCCAGCAGCGCTATGAGGCTGCCAGGCAGTTTATGACTTCTTAGCGCTTGTTATTTCATTCTCAGATTCCGGGCTATGGAAACAGGCCTCACACGATCATCCTCCGCCAGCCATTTCTCATGAGTCATTTCTCACAGGGGAACATTGCAGGCCAAGCCACTTCGTCTCCGTGGTTTTAACTAGAAGGATGTAATGTTTGTTTGGAGGGCCTCTTTACCCCCAGGGCAAGAAGCAAACTAGCAAAGAGTCTTGTCAAAGCCTCCGAGCTCCTGAGCATGACTGTTGATGAATCACCCCAGCTGTGCACCCTCTAAGGCAGTGTTTCTCAACCTAATGGCTGGCTGGGGAATTCTGGGAGTTGAAGTCCACGAGTCTTAAAGTTGCCATCTTTGAAGACCCCTGCTCCAAGGAGATAGATTTCTTCAACCTAGAGTGCTAAATAGAACTAGATCAGTGTTTCTCAACCTTGGAAGCTTGAAGATGGGTGGACTTCAACTCCCAGAATCCCCCAGCCAGCAGCGCTGGCTGGGGAATTCTGGGAGTTGAAGTCCACCCATCTTCAAGCTTCCAAGGTTGAGAAACACTGATCTAGTTGAACACAGAGCATTGCCATCTCTAACCAAAATTGGAGAGGGCGGAGAACAGATAGTTATTGGCTGTTTTCCCATTCCAGCTAGAAGTAACTAGAAATAACAGCCATGTGAAATTTGGATGACAAATGCGACCGTAGGAAAAACAAAACCACGGTGGATAAGATCACCCGGGGTGAAGGTAAAATGATGGGATGGGCGCCCGGCCTCACTTTGCTAGAGTTGTTTATGGTGCTTCATGAGCTGTCTCAGAGCGATGGCCACCGTTGATTTGTGGTCCACGAGGTCCTGTTTCTAAGGGAATATTGTCCCGGGGGTGGGGTGGGGGACAATCTCCCCCGTCGAGGAAGGTTTTCTGGCTGCTGCAGTGTTGACAATGTCAACCTTAGTGTTTTATTTAAAAAAAAGGAACATTCTCGCTCACCCACAAAGACGCACAAGGCAAGCTTATTGCAGGCAATTGGCAACATGCACCAATCCCTTCAGTCTGCACATAACAGATTAACAGAGTTGGAAGGGACCTTGTAGCAGGGGTGAAATGCTCCCAGTTCGGACCGGATCACCCGATCTGGTAGCGATGGAGGCGGGTGGTTCGGAGAACCAGTAGCAAAAATCCCTGCTCCCCCCCCCATGCCCAGCTGAGCCGCACAATCATCAGAGGCTTTTTTTTTACTTTTAAAAGCATTTTTTCTACAACCTCTTCGGCTGAAAAAATGCTTTTAAAAGAAAAAAAGCGCGGCTCATCTGGGATCATCAAAGGCTTTTAAAAGAAAAAAACCCCTATTTTTCTTTTAAATGCCTCTGACGATCAGGCAACTCAGCTGGGATCGTCAGAGCCTTTTGAAAGCATTTTTTTACAACCTCTTCGCAGAAGAGGTTGTAGAAAAAATGGTTTTAAAAGTAAAACAAAAACAAAAACGGCCAACGCTCCCCCCTGTCACATTCCCCCCCACCACCAATCCACGCCCACAGAACCGGTAGTAACAAATTTTAGATTTCACCCCTGCCTTGGAGGTCATCTAGTCCAACCCCCAGCCTACACCATTTCTGACAGGTGGCAGTCCAGTCTCTTCTTGAAAGCTTCCAGTGATGAAGCTCCCACAACTTCCGAAGGCAACTTCTGTTCCATGGGTTGATCGTTCTCACTTCATACAGGTAGCCCTCAACTTATGACCACAATTGAGCACAACGTTTGGGTTGCTAAGCGAGACCTTTGTGAAGTGAGTTTTGCCCCATTTTACGATCTTTCTTGCCACCGTTAAGTGAATCGTTGGCACGTGTTAAGTTAGCAACATGGTTGTTAAGTGAATCTGGCTTCCTCATTGACGCTTGTCAGACGGTCGCAAAAGTTGACCCTGGGACACCACAACCGTCATAATATAATATAATAATAATAACTTTTATTTGCGGTCTCAGAGAAAAATACAGATATAATTGCAAAAGAACGTGGGGAAAGTAACATCATACACATCATGCACAGTTGGCTACCAGAAGCCTTGGCTGAGAGGAATTACATCGTTCTCCTCACAACCATCATAAATATGAGCCAGCTGTCAAATCCAAATTTTGGTCACGTGACCAATGGGGATGCTGCAACAGCCATAAGTGTGAAAAACGATCAAAAGTTAATTTTTTTCAGTGCTGTTGTAACTTTGAACGGTCACTAAGCAAACTGTTGTAAGTCAAGGACTACCTGTAATCCCCTTGGGTATCCACTCGATTCTGGAGTATCTTCAGCTGAGATCTGTAACGGGTGGGTTCTACTTACCTCCGCTACCGGTTCGCAACGGGAGCGCACATGCACAGAAGCTTTTGCGCATGTGCAGATTGTCCATGATGACATCTGGCCGGGTGAGCGGAGCCTCCTGCCGCCATTACTACCGATTCGCAAGAACCGGACCAAACCGGGAGCAACCCACCACTGATCTGTAACCTCAGGCTGTGCTTCTACGGGTCTTGAACAAGGATGCCCAGGCCAGGCCTGCAGTCCAACAGGGTCGCTTTCAGACAGAGCTGTAGACCTGCAAAGCTTCTTGGCCTCAGTCGAAGAAGTGGGCTTCTCTTCTGCCCACATTAAGAGCGTGAAGGACTTGAAGCATCCAACCTAGCCATCCAGAGACATCTGAAGGGAACCTTTGGGTTAGTCCCTTGGGAAATGAGAATAGAGGCGCATGATAGACTCAGGGCAGAGAGGCATTCGGTTAGAGGAATCATGCAAGCTGCCCCCTCCCATTTATATGGAAATGGGCTTTTTATGATAGACAGAAAGAGTTTGCTTTTTCTCCATTATGAAATGCTTTGCCACTTGCATTGTTGCCTGTATATCCTGTGCTCCTCCAGTTGATTCAGGAAGGCATCATGTAGGGATGCTAACAAGGTGTCAGAGCTGCCAACCTGCCATGAACTATGCAGGGGGGGAGCCGGACTGGTGGGGTAAAGTGAAACTGATGAAGTTGGTGGGAAGAGGCACTCAGCATCTTCAAGGTTGTTGCTCTGGCAGAAGAATGCAAGACCGTTGCAAAAACAATTTACTCAAGTATAGTTGAACAATAAGGGGCCAAGGGAGCGGAGGAACTGGATGGGAAAAGTTAACCGGGAAATTTTGGGACGAACTTCAGTTCTGGCTTTGCTTTACTGCAATTCACTTGAATTCTAATAAAACTATTCCTCTTGCAACAAAAGGGAAACTAGGATTATTTCTATTTAGGAGTCCAAGCTGAGGCAGGTCTGACCCAAGGCTGGTATGGATAGTGTGGAAAGCGAGATGGACGGCATATAAATTTAATAAATATAGTGGTACCTCAGCACTCATTGTTAAGTGGCTGTGGGAGATGCGATGTGTACTAAAAACGATGAGAACCAACCTTTTCCCAAAAGGAATAATGTAGTGAGTCACAAGACAGCCAACAATGACAAGTTCTAGCTTGTGCGTTGAGTACCAAACAAACGATAAGTACCAGGACAAATTTCTCACATCAAAATGCACTGCATACCAAAGTCGATGAGTTTCAAAGCAGTTGAATCAGGCATGAAATCCAGCAGGTTCTGATAGGTTCTGGAGAACTGGTAGCGGAAATTTTGAGTAGTTCGGGGAACCGGCAAATGCCACCTCTGGCTGGCCCCAGAGTGGGGTGGGAATGGAGATTTTGCAATATCCTTCCCCCAGGAGTGGGGTGGGAATGGGGATTTTGCAATATCCTTCCCCCAGAAGTGGGGAGGGAATGGGGATTTTGTAGTATCCTTCCCCTGCCATGCCCACCAAGCCACGGCCACAGAACCGGTAGTAAAACAATTTGAATTTCACCACTGCGTTGAATACCAAGGTACCACTGTAAATAGTACTAGATAAAACTTCCAGCATTGTTGTAGTTGTAGACAGGCTGCATTGTGTTTCTTTACAGCACAAGCTTTCCATGATGATGAAGATTCTGTGTGACCCAAAACACATATACCACCGAAGCATTGTAAATCAGAACTATGGGGTCAGTTTGCCATTGGTTAATCGGAGGAAAACAGCATGTGTAAGTAATCAAAAAAGTATTTTCGTTGTTTTGTTTCTCGTTTCTGATTTTTCTTCAGAACAGTTGAGCCTCTGAATAATAGTTGAAAGTGACCTTGGAGGTCTTCTAGTCCAACCCTCTGCTTGAGCCGGAAACCCTATACTTTTTCTTTTTTCTTTTAATTTGATTTATATGCCGCCCTTCTTCGGAGACTCAGGGCGGCTTACAATGCGTTAAGCAATAGCCTTCATACTTTTGTATATTTATACAAAGTCAGCTTTTTGCCCCCACAACTGGGTCCTCAATTTACCTACCTTAGAAAGGATGGAAGGCTGAGTCAACCTTGAGCCTGGTGAGAGTTGAACTCACATTAATTGCAGGTAGCTGTGTTAATAACAGGGTGCGTAGACCACTGTACTATCAAGGCTCCTACTTGGCTGTCCAGTCTCTTCTTAAAACTCTCCAATGATGGAGCACCCACAGTTTCTGGAGGCAAGCTGCTCCACTGATTAATTGTTCTCACAGTTAGGAAAATTTCTCCTTAGTTCTAGGTTGCTTCTCTCCTTGATTAGTTTTCATCCGTTATTTCTTGTCCTGCCTTCTGATGTTTTGGAAAATAGGTTGACTCCTCAGCCACTCTCTTGGGCAAAACATCTAGCTCCAACAATATGCTGTTTTAGGAAATTCAGCACCAAGCTATTTTGTGCCAAGAAAAACATTGTTGAATACTTCACACATGTGTCTACATCTCTTGATCTCTTTCATTCAAATCCTCCTGGTACCTTGCTGTTGAATGTACTAGCGCATTATGTTAGAACTGAGTATTTGAGGTGAAGAATGAAAAGTCCTGATATCTGTGATAAACCATCCATAAATGCACATCTTCACTTGCTTGTGTGATTAATATTATTACCTTCTATATAAACTTTCAGTGATTTTTTTTTGCTTCAGTGAGATTCCCACTAAGTTTTTTTTTATTCTGACCAATCTTTGGATTTTATTTTATATAAATGCTCTTTACCTTTTAATTTATAGTTTAAACAATTTTTCTTTAAATAGTTTATTGATTTCATTTCATTTTTTGAAGCATTTTTTATCACTGTCCTAACAAGACCTTCCAAAGTGATTCATGCAAAAATACAAAACATTATCAGAGAACAAAAGTGGAAAGTTTTAAGTCAGAGTTACAGCTTTCAGTTTAAAAGTGCCATGACAAGTGCGATAAGAAGGTCCTCTCTGAACGCCCCTGAGGCATTCCTAGAAAAAAGATTTTCACAACCAGAATGTGATTGTCACAAAAGAAATGTGTTGGCTCTTGCAAAAGAACCTCTGAAGATGAATTGAGCCACCTGGCAGATTCACACAAATGTTTAGAAATTTGATAAATCAGCTGCAACTCCTTGAAATGAATTAGAAGTCCAAGAAGTTATCATAAGATTGTGGGAACATACTCTAAAGCAGGTGTCCAATCTTGGCAACAACTTCAGCTTCCAGACTTCTCCCGCTAGGATGGATTCACAGTTGAGGATCATCACTTCTGGAGTATAGCATGGCTGGCTGGCTGGCTGGGGAATTCTGTTTGTTGAAGTCCACAGGTCTTAAAGTTGCCAAGGTTGGCCTGGTTAAAGCAATTTGAACTGGGGAATGAATATACTGCAGGATCCAATCTGGGTCGGTCACCAGACCGGAAGTTTTATCTTCTGAGCTCTCGGACTCGTGCTGGAGCCCTTCCATAGGGAACTTCTGTCTAGCAGAATGTGTGCTTTGGGCTGTTCTGTGTGTCGTATTTATATATGGTTCCTACTGTATGTGGCTTTTGTAGATATTGATTGGGGTGTTGATGATTGGTTATTAAGTCGTGGGCTACTTGGGCTGCCAAGTGAGCAATCAGACAAGGAGACCCAAACTCATTGGCAGCCTCACACTGCAATGAACAAGACATACATTCAATTTTGCAGCTACTAAGATTGTTGGACGAGCAGGCACAAAAACAGCCAGGGAAGTGATGGATGCCTGGGAAACAGGCCCCTCATCAGTCAACAGAAGTGCTGATTTGCCACCAGCTTATCAGATACTTAGAAGGTGAGGGCTTGGCAGCACAGGCAAATGACAGCCCTCGACTTAATAGCCAACCATCAACACCCCAATCAATATCTAAAAAACCATATACAATAGGCACCATATAAGTGCCATGCACAGAACAGCCCAAAGCACACACTCTGCTAGAGAGAAGTTCGCTGAAGATGGGCTCCAGCACGAGTCCAAAATCTCGAAAGACAAAACCTCTGGTCTCAGTGACTGACTCAGATTGAATCCTGCAGCATTGGATTGGATCCTGGGACACATAAATTTGCCTTCATTTGTAATTAATATACTCGCTATGGCTAAAGATACCTTTTCCAGGAGAGGGCACATGTGGCACATATGTCCAGGCCCACCTGGGCCTTAGGAGGCCCTTGTGCAGTTGGAAGAATACCTGATCCAGAAGTGATGATCCTCAACTGTGAATCTGAACCTCAAGAGACAGAATCCTGCATAAAGAACTGCTTCTTATCTCAGATTTCACAATACTCTGGCCATGCCTTGCTACCTCAGAGCTGGTCTTCTGGAACCAAGCTCACAGCACATGTTGAAAATGTTTGCAATAAATAATAGGACAAGGAAGAACTTCCAGCTGTGTTTAAGCAACCTGAATGTATCAGCCATTTGATTCTCTTTTTAAAAAGTCTAGTCAAGAATATTATTGTTACTTAAATAATTTTCTACAAATTATATCAATGTCATTGCTATAACATATATCAATATATCACTGCAATATATAACTTAGCAGCGCTTGTGAAAATATTGAATTATGTTAATTACAGGCAATGAAAGTATACAAATTAACACTATTAATTAAACTTGAATGCAAAGTATGTTAATTGCACATAATTAGACGTATAGATTGGTGTTTGTGAATACACAAAATTCTGTTAATTACATTTGCTTAAATATGCAGATTAGCTGTGTTAATTAAAATAGCATGCGAATTATTTTAATTGTGTGCTTCTTAAGAGTGGCCGATTAGCTGCAGGCCTCTTACCGCTCACTCCTCCGGCAATTTCCGAGTCGCTCACCTCTGTCAAAGAGCAAAAATGCCCATTGAAATGGCCACAAAAATAAGTCTCCATAATTGCAGTGACCTCAAAGGAGCTCTCCGTCATTTTCATGTTCAGAGAATTGTTGCGTGGCTTGGGTGCTTGGGTCTCCACCTTCCAATAAATAAATAAATAATGCAAGACAAACTTGGCTCCTTTTCATTTATTCATGAGGGAGAATTTAATGCCTTTGCCATCCCAAGTTTTTACGAGTTGCCGTGTCCTGCTGCCCGTTTTACTAAGTTCCTCCCCTCGTTCTTTCTCTTGCTTTCGTCCTCTGTGAAGCTGTAGGTGTCTCTCTGGGTCTGGACTCTGCCCTGTTTGTCTCCGAATTGCCTCTGCATAGGAAAGGGGCAGCCATTTGTTCTGGAAATGATTTTGTAGGAGTAGTAAAACCATGGTTTTCTTTTCAGATGTGCTGCAGGATGGACAAGAAGAAGGTGCAAGATCTTGGAGTGGGAATGGGGGGTGGGGGGAGAGAGAAGCTTCTGCCTATGGTTTCAATTACAAAAAGGGAATAAAAGCCCCAATCTTGGCATCCGGAGTGGAATCAGACTTAAACAAATTGATGTTCCACTGCGGTAATTTGCAGCACATTCGCTGCATTTATAACAAGCGTAACAGAAGACAACGGCAAATTAATAAACTGTCCTTTTCCCCCCAAATCTAAGAGAAGTCATAATTGGTGAGATCGGGTTAAGTGAGCAGATGACTGCGTGCGTCGTCTTCTCCACCTAGAAATGGGAATGTGAAGGTCACCTCTATCCCGGATGACAAACGGAGAGCGGGGTTTTTTTTTTTTGTTGGTAAACAAATTAATCTTTGGAAAGGTCACCATTTGTTTTACATTTTGCATCCAGTCCTTGTCATCTGGAATCCAAGATTGACTGTCACTCGGCAAGGTGGAGGGGAGCCGAGGCTGCCGCCGTCCATATCAGCATTCTTTGATGGAACTCCATGCCTGATTGAGATGCTATGGGCTGCTGGCTTACAGCTGTCGCCGGACAAGGAGGGAGGCCCAGCCCGGAATTCCAATAAGCCTGGCCGTCCAATCCTGCTCGGCACTGGCTGGCCTTTTGCCCACAAGTAAAATGCACAGCAGTTTGAGCCAGCTATTATCCGGCTCCCTTCCTTCTGTGCTGCTTCTGTTCTGCCTTTCGAAAGGCGCCGCGGTCACGCATCTCTTCTTGGCCACCCACCTGGTGCGGTAATTTGAGACAGGTCGGCTGGAAGGACAACCTACCAGAGGTCTTTCGATTAGGAAGGCTTCCCTAAGAGTCTAAATAGGCTTTTTTGAGTCCAAAATGGGAGGATTGGGGCTTTGGACCGTTGGATGGTTAACAGAAGGAGCTGCAAAGTTTCTTGCTGAAAAGTCTAGGCTGCCTTGAGCCAACTTTTCAATCTCTCTTCACTAATCAGAGGGAGGCCGGTAGCAACTTCGCAGGCTGACAAACTTAATGGGAAATGGTAGGCTTTCGCCAGCCATGCTTACTTCATCAGGTGCACAGAGTTAGGTAGGCTGATGTTGGATTTAAATTGGGGTGGGGGTGGGGGCGGGGGTGGGCGGAGGGGAGATGCAGATGCAGGCTACCTGAAAGACAAATTACAAGTGTCTTCTCAATTGGCAATTGCAATGTGCTGAGAGCCTGTTGTGTTTGTTGAGGTGGCCTGAAACCATTTGATGTATGTAAGTTCAGCTGTCTCCCCAGCTCAATTGTGCTTGTAAAATTTCTTTGTTCCGAAAGAGCTACTTTGAAATCTGTAATGGAGCGTCTTGGGAAATTAAAATGCTCGGATACTACTTTGTCCTAGTTTTGAGCCTTTGTGCAAGATTTGTGTCCATTAACTCTTCTGCATACAATCTGCCATGTTTGTCCTGCGTGGAATCCAAAGGGACGTTGCTGGCAGATCGTGGCAGGGGTCACATTGGAGAGAGACCAATGGGGAAGGACCTCTAACCTGGTGGGTGAAGACAGGTCGAGGCCTCTGACTGTGACCGGTGCTGTCGGTGTAAATGTAGAGGCAAAATAGATACCTGGGTTTTTCTTCCTTCTCTACCTCCACCCAATTTAAAACAAATAATAGTTTAGCCTCTCCATACATTTGATGTAATGAGAGGTTATACAAAAACATGGAATGGAACGGAATTCTTTATTGGCCAAGTGTGATCAGAAACACAAAGAATTTGTCTCAGATGTATAAGCTCACAGTGTACATGTAAACAGCAAGTAATAGACCATCAGTCATAGTTATAATTACTAAGTTACAAACAATAATTGATAAATCATAAACCAATAGAAGATAGTAGGAAAGATGAGAAGATAAGTGGAGGTGAGAATAGGCAGTGCTGAGGGAATTAAGTGTTCAGCAGAGTGATGGCACGGAAAAACTGTCTAGTAGTAGTTTTAGCATGCAATGCTCTGGATATGCAATGAGTATCCCTATTAATAACATGTGTTATCTGAAAAAACCCTACAGATAGTCCTCATGTAGTGACCAACAACTTAGTCATTAAATGAGGCAGTCACTAAGTGGAACCCCCACCGTGTTTATGATCTGACTTCAGTTTTTCTTTGCTTTACAGACCTGCAAGGGTCATAAATGTGAGAATTGGTCGCAAAGTTACTTTTTCATCAGTGTTGTTGCTGCAAATGGTCACTAAACAAGGCAGTCGCTACACGAGAGCTGCCTGTATTGAACTCCTGATTTTTGGCTGTCGTAGACTAATATGGCTCTCCGGCTAATATTCGCCTGCTGTATGGTGATTTGGAAGAAACTGATAATTTATGTGGACTGCTAAGTATCTTGGGAAGGTACCAGATGCTTTAGTCAGCAGATGGAGAAAAGTGGAAATAGTTTCTTAAGTGGTTAAGTCTATATTAAATGCTTTTGTATATTCATATTTTGCATTCCTTTTGTATCGAATAGCTTCGGTGCCCACAATTAAAAATCTTTTCACATGAAGTGACAAAATTAAGTGTCTTTTTTTTCCCCCTCCCTTAAAAAAAACATAAAAGAGTCGAAGGGTTTCATCACAGATGGGAAGGTTTTTTTGTTTTTGTTGGCTTGCTTTCTGGCAAGGGCGATATATTTTCCATGTGTCCATAATTTTGCAGAATCATTTCCACGGGCCACTAGTAATATGAAGCCATCATCCAACTAATTTATCAGTGTCGCTAAAGAGTAGTAACTGAAACAGCCTTGCATCTGGAGCCAAATGCTTCTGCTTCTGTTCCGTCCTCAGAATTCGTCTGATTCTGGAGAAAACTTGTTGGTGAGTTGCTCAGCTGTGAACGTCGAATGTGGACAATGAAGCGGTCTCTGGTGTGCGCACATCCGGTGTCCATTTTCTGTTCTGCAGTCTGCTGGCTGCCTCCTTCACCTCCTAAAGTTGTTTTGCCTCAGTCCTGTTTTGTTCCTAACAAAAGGAAAACAATGAAAAGGGGAGGGGGGGATCCCTTTTTAAAAAAACAACTGTTCGTTTTAAATTGAACCACAGAAAAATAACCATATTGAGTGGGACATTTTTATCCACAAGAGAAATGCGCTTCAAAAGGACTAATAGAATTCTTTTGTCTCATGCCTCAAGTTAATTATACAGAGAATTGCTTGAGATAAAGAGAAAATACTTCTGCAGCACATTTCAGGCATATTATGCAGAGTAAATGTTTGCCGGCAGCCCAAATTAAGATCTCTGTTCTAACCTTTGAAAATTGTGTTCTGATGTAATGTTTCTCTCCACCAAAATGTTTTCATGATATTAGACATGTCCAATTCATTGCCTGGAAATGAGTCATTTGCTTCAGCACTACAGTAGTGTTTATCCTGTGAGCAGGATGTCGAATTTTGACCGGCTTTTCCTTTTTGGTAGAGGCCTCCGAGGCACTCCGTGTGGTCAGACAGGTCCAGATGGTTTCTGGAGAAGGAAGAAAGAGAATGGCGGCAGCGCGGCACATGAACATACGCATCGGCAGCAGCCCCAGGACGTCCACAGCCCGCCTGCCCTCCCAAAGCACTGCTGCGCCACCGCCATTCGCTTTCTTCCTTCTCCCACCGCAAAATGAAAGCGAATGGCGGCGGGGTTGCTTTGGGAGGTTGCTTCAGGCAGGCAGATGTCTTTAGCCAGGCAGGGAGGGAGGGTGGCCAGAGCGGTGGCGGCCCCTTCCACACGGCAAGGCGACCCTGGCGCACCTGTTGCTGTGGAGGCGCAGCAATCACTCAGCCAGGGCGGCCTCGGCAGGGGGTGCATATGCCTCTCCGCCCGTGCCATGTTCCACTCCGGCCGGTCACACAATTACAAGTGCAGCGACCTGCTCTTCGGCAAAATTAAGGGCTACCTGTGTTGGCCCGTCCAGGTAAGCGCCGCTGCCCAGGCCGAAGGGAATGAGCCAGTGGTGGGTTGCCCCCAGTTTGGACCAGTTCACAAGAACTGGTAGTAAAACCGGTGAAAGGCTCCATCCACTGATGTGGACGTCATCAGAAGTGATCTGTGCATGCGCAGAAGCTTCTGCACATGTGCTAAAGAGCGTGCGGGTGGGCACGATGCGAACCAGTAGTAAAGGTAAGTAAAACCCACTCCTGGAAAGCGCTGCAGGCTCTGCGGTGGCGTGGCCGGGCCTGGCCCTCTCCCCGCGTGGGGGGCTACTGCCCCACCAGCTGCCGGCAGCTTCTACCACTCTCGCTTCACTTGTTCGCCACCAGGAAGTGGCGTTGCGGCTGAGTCTCCTTCCTCCGGAGCGCCGGACTCTGGGGGCCAAGTTCCCGGAGTGGCAGTGGTCAAAGAGAGCAGGCAGGTGGCCGGGTGGGAATCCAGTGGGCTGCTTTGGAGCCCCAAGCCCCGCGGAGCCGGCACAAGAGGCACTGGTGGAAGGCAGCCTTTTCTGCAGCATCCCCCTCCCCTCTTTGGATCGCCCTGCCGGGGGGGGGCTCTGCCGTTGCAGAAACGGGGTAGGCGGTTTGTACGGAGGATTAACGGGGGATGCGCCGCTCTCCAGGATGGAGAGCGGGGCAAGAGAAGGTTCCGAGGTTCGCATGGGCAGTCTAGCCAGATGGCAGAGGGAAAGTCAAATCATTGGGGGTTGCAGAAGGGCAGAATGAGCCACGCCCACAGAACTGGTAGCGAAAATTTTTAGATTTCACCACTGCCCCATAGTACCCTGTTTCCCCGAACATAAGACATCCCCTGATAATAAGCCCAATCGGGCTTTTGAGCACATGTGCAAAAATAAGCCTCCCCCGAAAATAAGCCCTCCCCGAAAATATTTAAACGCACAGCTGGAAATTAGGTAAGATAACAAGCGGAGCCCCATGTTGCTCCACACACCCCAAAATAATAAGACCTCCCTGAAAATAAGACCAAGCGCTTATTTCGCGGTTCAAAAAAATATAAGACAGGGTCTTATTTTTTGGGAAACACGGTATATTCCATACTCCTAAACCGTGAAACCTGAGCCTGTACCAATTTTTGGGTGGTTAGTATCAAATCATATTTTGTTACCTTAAAAATGTTCCTAGACATAAGTGGTCCATGCAATCATCAGCTTAGCAGCTGAAACAGGACATGTTTTTTCTCTTCATTTAGGCACCGACGCAGAAGATTGCAAAAGGTGTGACAGTCAGCAACCTTTCCATAGCTCCACCAGCCTCCTATTTCAGCAACATTCGCTCTGCCGTGCCTATTTCTGAGAAGGATGCAGGGAAAGGTCAGCCTTGGCCACTTCATTCTGCTGGGCCCATTCGCAGTCTTTGCCTCTGCAAATATAACATATTGGCCAGGGAGATTGTTGGCTCTGACCATTGGACAGCCACTAGCTGCACATAGAACATAGAATAATAGGGTTGGAAGCAGTGGTGAAATGTAAATTTTGTTACTACCGGTTCTGTGGGCGTGGCTTGATGGGGGAGGGGGTTAATATGTCTGAGTGGGTGTGGCCAACTTTTTTTTTTAACTTTTAAAACCATTTTTCTACAACCTCTTCGGGTGATGGAGATGGGTGGTTCGGAGAACCGGTAGCAAAAATCCCTGCGCTGCCCCCATTGCCCAGCTGAGCCGCGCAATCATCAGGGGCTTTTTTTTTATTTTTAAAAGCATTTTTTCTACAACCTCTTTGGCCGAAAAAAATGCTTTTAAAAGTAAAAAAAAAAGCCTCTGATGATCACGCGGCTCATCTGGGATCATCAGAGGCTTTAAAGGCATTTTTTTTATAACCTCTTCAGCCGAAGAGGTTGTAGAAAAAATGGTTTTAAAAGTAAAAAAAAAAAAAGAGTTGGCCACACCCACTCAGTCATATTACCCCCCCCCACCAAGCCACGCCCACAGAACCAGCAGTAACAAATTTTACATTTCACCACTGCTTTAATAATAATAATAATAATAATTTTATTTCTATACCGCCCTTCTCCTGAAGGACTCAGGGCGGTGTACAGCCTATTTAAAAACACAGACAAAACAATGATATAAAATTTAAAATAATTAAATAAGTGGCTCTTATTTGGCTTATTTGGCTTTGAAGTAATGTGTGAAACCTTGTGTTTTCCTAGGCATCCTAAATCTAATCGAAAGAGGACTCATTCCACGTGCTGCTAGGATTACTTTAGAGAAGCCACCCATTCTGCCAAAACCTGTTCCTCTCCATGAATTTCAGACAAAGTACAAGAAGGTTGACGCAGGTAGGTCAAGCAGCCAAGTAGGTGCCTCCCACAGTTGAAAGGCAAATAGCCACTATACTGCAATGCTCTCTACATGGGGCTCCCCTTGAGGAGCACCCGGAGGCTCCAACTGGTCCAGAATGCGGCTGCACGGGTGATTATGGGAGCGACGTGGCGTTCCCATGTAACACCTCTCCTGCGCGAGCTGCACTGGCTCCCGATGGTCTTCCGGGTGCGCTTTAAGGTATTGGTTCTCATCTTTAAAGCGCTCCATGGTTTAGGGCCAGGGTACTTACGAGACCGCCTGCTGCTACCGATAACCTCCCACCGGCCAATACGCTTTCACAGAGAGGGCCTCCTCAGGGTGCCGTCGGTTAAGCAATGTCGGCTGGCGGCCCCCAGGGGGAGAGCCTTCTCTGTGGGGGCACCCGCCCTGTGGAATGAGTTACCTCCTGGAATACGACTGATCCCGGACCTCCGGACCTTCCGTAAGGCCCTGAAGGCTTATTTATTCCAGCAAGCCAGCCTAGCCTAAATGGTTTTTAATGGGATTTTTAAATTTTATAGACTTGGGGTCTTAAATTGGGAGGCCGATTGATTTAATCTCTTTTAATTATCTTAACTTTTGTATTGTATGTATTTTAATTTTGGCTGTTCACCGCCCTGAGTCCCTTTGGGAGAAGGGCGGTATACAAATTAAATTAAAATAAAATAAATAAATAAACTGTGGTTTGGTAATGCGCGAAGATTCCTTGGTTATCCTCAGGGATTTGAAACTTGAAAGCCCAAAAGGAATCAAGAAGAAGAAGAAGAAATAGAAACCTTCTATTTCTTCCCGCTTGGAGCCCCAGGGGTGTTTCCTTAGCAGTGCACCCGTTAACAGAATAACAGAGTTGGAAGGGACCTTGGAGGTCTTCTAGTCCAGCTCCTTGCTCAAGCAGGAGACCCTACACCCGTGATGGTTAACCTTTTCGGTGCGGAGTGCCCAAAGCACGCACACATGCGCGAATGCACACCCGCGTGCCCGAACCCCCAAAATGCAATGCAAGCGACCTCCTGCGCATGTGCCCCGGCCCCCCCTGCGCCTCGTTTTGGCTTCCAGGTTGGTGCAGGAGGCTTTCCAGGCCCAAAACAGGGCATGCGCCCTGTTTTGGACTGGAAAGCCTCCTGCACCAACCTGGAAGCCAAAACAAGGCACAATGGCACTGCATGAGTCCCCTCCGCGCCCCGTTTTGGACCTGGAAAGCCTCCTGCACCAACCTGGAAGCCAAAACAAGGCACAAGGGCACTGCATGAGTCCCCTCCGCGCCCCGTTTTGGGCCTGGAAAGCCTCCTGCACCAACCTGCATCCCTTCACGCATGCGCACCTCGCCCTGCACATGGGCGGTAGAGACCGAAAACCAGCTGGCTGGTGGGAGGCACATGCACATGCGTGGTGGAGCTGGTCTGGGGCAACGTCTGGCATGCCTACAGAGTGGGTTCTGCATGCCACCAGTGGCATGTGTGCCATAGGTTCGCCATCCCGGGCCCTATACCATTCCGGACAAATAGCTGTCCAATTTCTTCTTAAAAACCTCCAGTGGTGGAGCACCCACAATTTCTGAAGGCAAGCCGTTCCACAGGTTGATTGTTCTCACCGTCAGGAAATTTCTCCTTAATTCTAGGTTGCTTCTCTCCCAGATTAGTTTCCATCCATTGTTTCTTGCCTTGTCTTCTGGTGCTTTGGAAAATAGTTTGACCCCCTTGCCTTTATTGGGACCCTGTTATCATGTTTTATTAGAGGGTTAATCTCTAACCTGTTGGTTGGCTATGATTGTGGGTTTGTTCCAGGGGTGAAATGCTCCTGGTTTGGACCGGATCGCCTGATCCGGTAGCAATGGCGGTGGGTGGTTCGAAGAACTGGTAGCAAAAATCCCTCCCCCTCATGCCCAGCTGAGCCGCGCGATCATAGGAGGCTTTTTTTTTTAATTTTTAAAAGCATTTTTTTCTACAACCTCTTCAGCCGAAAAAATGCTTTTAAAAGTAAAAAAAAAAAAAGCCTCTGATGATCGTGCGGCTCAGCTGGGATCGTCAGAGGCTTTTAAAATCATTTTGTCTACAACCTCTTCAGCTGAAGAGGTTGTAGAAAAAATGTTTTTAAAAGAAAAAAAGCCTCTGCCGATCAGGCAACTCAGCTGGGATGTCAGAGGCTTTTAAAAGCATTTTTTTACAACCTCTTTGGCCGAAGAGGTTGCAAAAAAAAATGGTTTTAAAAGTTTTTTTAAAAAAAAAGTTGGCCACACCCACCCAGTCACATTACCCCCCAAGCCACGCCCACAGAACCCGTAGTAACAAATTTTACATTTCAACACTGGTTTGTTCGTTGTTTAACGTAGGCAAGAAAAATAGATCAGATCTCAGTTCAACATGGCTTTTGGGGTGGCAAAATTATATGTCTGAGGATTTTGAGCACCCTGACCTTTTCTTTTCCTGGAAGGTTTTCAAAGCCGCTTTATCTGTGCCATAGAGGGGGCTCGGCAGAGCGAGAAGGTAGAAGCGGCTCCCCTCCCCTCTCAGAAGCCCACCCAGGTCTCCGAGCACCCAGCAGAAGGTGGAAAGGAGAAGAAAGGAACCAAGGGGAGCATCGCACCCCCACCATCCTGCATCTCCGTCATTTCCTCCAAGAAACTCAAACAGCAGCAGCTACTTCAGGCCATGAGACTAAGGGAGTCAGCCGCCTCTTCGGTTTGCTTGGCAAAGGTACATGTCTATGGAGATCCTCCGTCATCCAGGTCATGGTTGTCCCACAGGTGCTTTTTCTTTTCTTTTTCAAGAGGCAACTGGACTTTCTGGTTTTTCTTTGAAGACGTTTCGCTTCTCATCCTAGAAGCTTCTTCAGCTCTGACTGAATGGTGGGGAATGGAAGGATTTATACTCCTTGCAGACAGCTGGACATTTGCATTCTTTTAGCGGGTCATTAAAGTCACCTGGAGGTTTATCTGTGTCCTCAGGGTCACCTGAATAGTGCAAATGGGTGTGGAGCCTTCTTGGAACTGCTGAAAGGACTGTGTTGTAGACTGGAGATAGACGATGTTGTATCCTTCCCCCTCTGTTGAGGGAGGGCTGTTCAATTTTGACATAGATGGCCTCTTTGACCCCTCTTTCAAACCAGCAGTCCGCTCTGTCCAAAATATGGACTTTGTTGTCTTCCAAAGAGTGGCCTTTGCCTTTTAAAAGCAGATGGACTGCTGAATCTAGTCTTGATGTGTTTGTTCTCCTATGTTGTGCCATGCGTTTATGAAGTGGTTGTTTTGTTTCCCCAATGTACAGATCTGCACATATTTCACTGCATTGTACTGCCTATACCACGTTGCTCATTTTCTGTCTGGGTGTTTTATCCTTGGGGTGGACAAATCCTTCCATTCCACACCATCCAGTCAGAGCTGAAGAAGCTTCTTGGATGAGAAGCGAAACGTCTTCAAAGAAAAACCAGAAAGTCCAGTTGCCTCTTGAAAAAAAAGCACCTTTGGGACGTTGGCAAAGGTACGAGAGTCCCACGTAAGATTTCTGGGCCTTGATGGAACAACTTCCTGCGGCTACACACAGGCATTTTAGGTCTTACCAAGTTTTATGTAACTTCAGATATGATCACATTACGTACATTTTAGATATCATCAGATCAGGGGTGAAATCCGAAATTTTTCCCTACCAGTTCTGTGGGCGTGCCTTGGGGTGGTGGGGGAAGGATACTGCAAAATCCCCATTCCCTCCCCACTCTGGGGCCAGCCAGAGGTGGTATTTTCTGGTTCTCCAAACTACTCAAAATTTCCGCTACCGGTTCTCTAGAACCTGCTGGATTTCACCCCTGCGTCACATTTTTATAAATTTTAGACGTTACCACATACTACACAATTTTAGATAGTACCACATTTACAGCCTAAACAGAGATTGTTCCTTTTGGGTTTTAATCATGGGTTCTAGTCAGGTTGTTTTATAGACGTGCAGTTCAGGGACTGCTCAAAGTTACGGCAGTGCTGAAAAAAATAATTTTACAGCCATTTGCAACCTTCCCACCAGTGCCCCTCAGTCACATGATCCCCATCACAATCATAGTTCACATTATCCAATGCCTGACCTGTGATTTTTTCCCCCCCTTGCAGAGCAGAGAAACTGGACTCTCCTGTTGCAATGTTGCAATGTTGCATTCTCTTCTTCTCCAAACTTTCTAATCTTCTTTCGGGAGGGGAGCACAGTCAGGGAAAGGAGAGATTACCTACAGAAATCACTTGCTTTTTTTTAATCTACCCCCGCAGAGCAGAGAGAGTGGAGAGGAAGGGATTTCAAGAGCACAAGCTGTGCATAGCATGCCCATAACTCCCAGCCCTAGGCTGCAGTGTGATCACATTGCTTTTGATAGCAATAACACTTAGAGTTATATACCATTTCACAGTGCTTTACGGCCCTCTCTAAGCATTTTACAGAATCAGCCTCTTGCCCCCAACCATCTGGGTCCTCATTTTACCAACCTCGGAAGGATGGAAGGCTGAGTTAACTTTGAGCCGGTCAGGATCAAACTCCTGGCAATGGACAGAGTTAGCCTGCAATACTGCATTCTAATCACTGCGCTATCGCGGCTCTTTTTTTTTTTTTTATTAAAAAGTTTTTAAAAATTTAAAAATATTTTCCTATCCCCCCTCCCTCCCCAGCCCCCCCCCCCCCCCGACTTCCCAGAGTAAAATACAGGGTATAGCATTTAACAGTCATATACTAACATATGCTAACTATCTATAGACTCCTATCTCCCTCTTGTACTTTTAACTCCCCTTTTACATGACTAGATTTAAATACTTTCTAAAATCTCTTTATTCGTTCATAAACTATTTGAAACTTTTTAATCCGATATTTGTTTTGAATATAGTCAATCCATCTTCTCCATTCCAAAATATATTTTTCATTTGAATGGTCCTTCAAATACGCTGAAATTTTGGCCATCTCTGCTAAATTCACTACTTTTAGTGTCCATTCTTCAATAGTAGGCTATCACGGCTCTTGATGTCCTAGAGAAGAGGGGACTGACTTATTCTTCAAAGGCAGCATAAGATTAGTCCCTAAAGAGAGATCCAACCTAGACGTAAGGAGAAGTTTTCTGACACTGAGAACATTAATCAATAGAATAACTTGCCTCCTGGAGTTATGTCTGCTCCATCGCTGAAGGTGTACAAGAACAGAGTGGGATGGTTTCAGGTCTCCTGCCTTGGGCAGGAGGTAAGACTAGAAGGCCTCCAAGGCCCCTCCTGTATTTTAATTTTCTCTCCAATGTAATTTACTGGTTTCTCTAGATTTAGATTCACAGAGGGCTCAGGATTTGCTTCTCGTACTGATCTCAAACTGCAATAAAGTGACTCATCACAGCCATTTTAGTACAACTGTCAATTTTCCTTATTGATTCCTAAGTTTTGTGACCCATCTTTCCTTCAGTGCCCCACCAGAATGAGCTACAGATAGTCCTCGACTTAAAACAGTTTGTTTAGTGACTGTTCAAAGGTGCAAATGCTCTGAGAAAAAATGACTTATGAGCGTTTTTCAGACTTACAACCATTGCAGTATCCCCATGCTCACGTGACCAACATTCAGACGCTCGGCAACTGACTCACATTTATGACGGTTGCAGTGTCCCTTTTTGCAACCTTCTGACAAGCAAAGTCAACGGGGAAGCCTGATTCGTTTAATAACCGTGCTACTAACTCCACAACTGCAGCGTTTCACTAAGCAACTGTGGCCAGAAAGGTCTTAAAATTGGACAAAACTCACTTAACAACTATCTCACTTAGCAACAGAAATTTTGGGCTCATTTATGGTTGTAAGTTGAGGACTGCCTGTACATGAGAAGACCGCGTATCTCCACTGCTCCTGGGGAGGTGGGGGGCACTTTTTCATATCAGTCCGTCTTCTTTCTCTCCCTCCTTCTCTTTAGACGCCAGAAGCGATCCCGCCGGAGACCTTCAAGAAGGTGGCTTTTGAGTTTGAAATCCCCGTCTGCAAAGGCGTCCTTGACTACGCGGCCTCCGACCTGGTTCAGTTCAAGCAGTACTGCTGCCTCCTCTGGGGAAGCGTCTTCTCCTTCCTGCAGCAAGTGGAGGTTCTGATGAAGGAGTACGCCATTCCTCTGGCCATCGTCATGGGGAAGAAAGTGATGGACCTGGTCCCGGATTTTGAGCTAAACCAGAGAGCCACCCGGGAGGAAATCCTCTCGGTCTTAAAGAACGTCTCCACCGTTCAGAAATTTTTAAAGCAGCCTGGCCGGAGATACAAAGGCCAAAACGGGACCGAAAAAGCCGCCATCAAGATCCAGGCAACATGGAAGTGCTACAAATTGAGAAAATCCTACATTGGATTCAGGCATCGGCAGTGGGCCTCGGGCATCATTGCCATTTCTTGGTTGATCCACGTTCACTTGCAGCGTGTCCGAAAGACCCTGAAGGAGTCTCGGCAGAAACACCTGGAGAACTTCCACCTCAGGACCAAGGTAGTTGCTTGGCCCCTTTGTCTCAGCATCCGTGCACAATGATTGCAATCAAATGTTCCTTCCCCCCCGCCCTATTTAACACTACCCTTGTCCAAGCATATTTTACGCATCATTAAATGTGCAGCCTTTGGTGGCTACAGTCTGCCTCCATTCCCCCCCTCCCTCCCCTTTGAACAACTGCTGCTTTTCCTTCGCGGTGTGAAATGGAGAAAACAAAATCCCTCTGATTTGACTTGGGTCCTTCTTGTCAAAAAATGGGATTCGGTAGGTTTGCAATAGACAGCTTTTGATTGTATTTAGCACCATGCTTCTTAAGAGTTGTTTTGAGGAATCGCTTCGGTTCTGCTCTCTTTTTAGTTTTTCTGACTTCAGGTTTAAAAGGCACAACCCAGAAAGAGGGGAGGGGGGTGAGACGGGGGGACGGGACATGCTGTTGCTTCTGGAAATAGTAGCGGTCGGTGGTACCTGTCAACTGTCCAGCTTCTGCCAATGCCAAGCCCTGGACATCATTACGCCATCTCCTTCCCTGCCTCTGTCCTCTCCTTCCAATTTTACTAGATACCTGTACAGTACTACCATACTTTCAGTTTTATCCGTAGATTATTTTTACTTTTTATGCCATTTATAGCCTGCCTTTCTGGATCAGGTAAACTACACAAAGGGTCTAGCAGAAGTTTTAAAAACAAACTCCCAGGATGCTGTAAATTGAGGTCCACACATCAGTGCCTGAGATTGAGAAATTCTGCCTGTGGGTTTTAAAGGCCAGCACTTCTAGCAATCTCTGGCAGCTGCTGGATTTTGCATCGGTGGAAATTTCAGGGTTCAAGGGCAGCTCCGCACAGAGCACATTGCGGTAGTCAAGATGGTGTAGTCACGGCATGGATTCCGTGTTCCTGAGAGACAGTTTGGTGTGGCCCTGCCTCCTCCAGCAGCAAAGGCAGTGCCCTCTTCCCACCTCCTCTCTTCCGCAGTCCCTCTCCCCTACTCTTCCGTTACAACACAATACCGTGCACTTGATTTGTGGCCCACAAAAACAATCTCCCTCGCCTCTGTGGCAGTCACTACTTTGTCAGAAAGTACTTAAGTTTGCAGACAAGCTTTTAATTAGTGATCACCATTTCATTTATGTTTGCTTTCTCTCTCTCTCTCTCTCTCTCTCTCTCTCTTTTTTTCATTCATATTCTGTTAATTAAGTGATCAGCCTCTAATCTTCCCCTGCCAGTAGCTTCATGTAGCCATCTAATTAAATTAATTGGGGAAGATGTTTTAAGTATGTGATTAAATCAATTAATATAATTTATGCCTGGCTTAACTGTACAGTGGGAAAAAAGGGAGGAGGGGGAACAGCTGAAGTTCGGCTGGGTTGCATCCGCGGCAGGTCCCTCCTGTCACTGATCAATGCCTTTTCTTGATTTTTAGCATCTGGCCGCCAACTGGAATCGCATCAGGAGCTCTAGGAGGACGATTATCCATATCCCATCGTTAGGTAGAATGCTTTTGTCTCTGGGTCTATCAGCAACCCCTATTACACACCGCATTATGACTCCTTGATTGAGTTCAAGGAAGGCCTTGTTTTATTCAAATTGGTCTCGGCAGGAAAATGTTGTCGACATGATGAGAGTAATAACGCAGGGCCTTCACTTGAAACGGCGGCGTTTAATTTGGGGATTAAGCAAATAAAGTCATTATGTAGAGGCCGCTATTCAGCGGAGAGGTGATTTGCGGTAATTCGCTTCCCTCTGTATGAAATGAACTAAAAAGTTGTATTCTCTCCCCCCTCCCGCCCCCTTTTCCTTCCCTCGCTGCCCTCCCTTTAGAAACACCCTCCCCTCCCCCGGTACCCCAGCCTCACAGACACCCTGTTCTGCTTGCCTTCCGCAAGGAGGGGATGTGGGTTTGCTGGCTTGGGTGCTATTGCGCCGATAAGCCAGGATGCTGTTTGCACCCTGCTTTTAATCAAATGTGCAGTCAAAATGATAAGCCGCATTCTCTGAAATTATTTAGTTCTAATTACGAGCAGATGGGAGGGTTTATTTGCACCTTGGGCGCCTCAGCAAAAGGAAATGCTGTGGTGAACAAGAATAATTAAGAAGTTGAATAGTGGGGTGGTTTTTGTGTGTTTGTGTGTGCGCTTAAATAATCTGCAGCTCCATGTTAATTAGCACTCGGGTAATTATTTAATTACATTTATGAATTGGGGGGCCCTAAGAGCCGTTTCCCTGTGCAGCAGTGGGGGTTTGTCAATAAAAGATCTTTCTCAAAAGGATCTTTCTAGGAAATGGCTGAAATTGGGAACAGAGGCCCACCTTTTAAAAGAAACCAGCTATCTTTCTTCTAATTGGGGGGTGTACAGAAAATGTCTGTAGAGGAAGATATCCGAGTGGCCTTTCTTTTGATTGCAGCCCTCTCTGGCCGCGGCTGCTGCTGCGGCTGTAGCGTTTACAGAGGTTCACTGAACAGTTGATGGAAGGGCATCTCTGAGCATCTTTGGCCATCGCCCCCATAGCCCTGCTCTTCTCCAGACCCCCTGTAAAGTCTCAAGTGAAGCTTCCGGTATGTTTAGTCAGTGTTTATTTCAGTCAAAGGCCAGAGGCCAGAGCAAGTTAAAAACACTCAAGCAATATCCAGTTAAAAATTCTAGAATTAAATAGCAATAGATAAAATTTATTTATTTATTTATTTATTGGTTCGATTTATATGCCGCCCTTCTCCGGAGACTCAGGGCGGCTTACAATGCGTTAAGCAATAGCCTTCATACTTTTGAATATACCTGCTTAGTAGGGCTTTCGGGCCCCCCTAAGCAGTGTTTTTTTTTTTTATACAAAGTCAGCTTATTGCCCTCACGATCCGGGTCCTCATTTTACCTACCTCGGAAGGATGGAAGGCTGAGTCAACCTTGAGCCTGGTGAGAATTGAACTCGCAGTATTTGCAGGCAGCTGGCAGCTAAGTGCTACTTTAACAGCACTTTAGTCCGCTGTGCCACTAAGGCTCCTAGATCAAAATCTAGATCAAAATCACAATTTGGCATCCCATCTGTCAGTTGCACACGAGCAAAACGCAGCATGGCCTAACTATAATATCAATCCTTAAACTGTGAGGCCCGTAGTCATTAAATACTAAAATGCAAGAGAGTGGTAATGCAAAAGGGTTTGCTGCATTACTTGCGTAAAATAGTTATGATGGATTAATCACCTGTTTCCGATGAATTCCCATTGCTGCTGTGCAGAATTTAGCCACCTGCGCTGAAGTTTGCGGTGTGCACATCACAAAATTTTTCTTTCCTTTCTTTTTTTTTAAAAAAAAACAAACTTTCTACTGCTTTTGATTGACATGCAAGCAGCATTTTAGAACATCCTTAGTTTCTTAAAACCAGATATAGGCAACACCTCATCTATCCTTCCAGGAATCCTGTCTTGGATACAGTAAAAAGGCAGGGAGACTTTTCAGGAAGTGAAAATGGGTTAATAGTCTTGACATCATTTATTTTCCCTTTCTGTGAACAAATGTCACAAATGCAAAATCTGCAAAAATATTAATCTCTTTTAAATAAATTATTGCTCTTTTTTTGAAGACATTTTAGGCAGAAAATAACATGATCAAATATAACTAGAGAACCATAATCTTTGGCATACTTGCAGTTTTAATAAATGTTAGATTTGATAGATTTGAGAATATATGTCTTTGCCCAATCTGGGAAGGACAGTTTTGTAATTCCAAGGAATAAAATAGCCTTAGATGGAAATAATGCAGCTGAGTTCAAAGGGTCCTGAGTCCCAGTTCCTGGAGGAACAAACTATAGCTGGAATGTGTGGCTTTCTGCTGCTACTGTCGCCACATTTGAGAGTCCTTGATTGATGCCGCTAATAATAAAATCACTTTTTTTTTAACCAAACCTGCAATGATATATATATACAGTACATGCTTATTCTGAAGTAACATTTGTTAATATGTTAATACACTTTTTTCCCTTTTAGTCAAGCTTTTTTTTAAATCTCCCAAAAGGGTACTTAAACATGTTTACAGAATGTTCTTTTAATTGTCCTCTTAGGTCAACAGCTTCATCTTTAGGCTGAAGTTATACGTGGTATGGGATGCTTCCCTATAAAACTCTGTAGGAAGAGGTTAGAGTTAGGCTTCCTGAGATCATCAAATAGTATTTAGGATTTTGAGATCCAGGTTCAGGTCTTCCCTCAACCACAGAAGCTCCTCCCAGCCCATCCTACCTCACAGGGTTGTAGGTGGCAAAAATGCCATGAACGCTGACTTGAGCTCTTGGAGAAACGTTGGGATCTATATCTAACAAGAACAGAATTGTTGTTTCAAAAAGTCAGATTTTATTTCTTTCATTTTATTTGATTTTTATCCAGCCTTTATTTCTTTATAAGTAACTCGAGGCAATTTTAAAGTACAGGTAGACCTTGACTTACGACCACATTTGAGCCCAACATTTCTGTTGCTAAGTGAGGCATCTGTTAAATGAGTTTTGCCCCATTTTATGACCTTTCTTGCCACAGTTGTTAACTGAATCACTGCAGCTGTTAAGTTAGTGACATGGTTGTTAAGTGAGTTTGGCTTCCGTATTGACTTCGCTTGTCAGAACGTCGCAAAAGGACCCCGGGACACTGCAACCGTCATAAATATGAGCCAGTAAGATGGCATCATCTTAAAATGGAGACGGGAAGCTGGATTAGAGACCAAAAATCAAAAACCAAACAAAAGGGTTCCCTTCATTGTACTATATGCATTTGCAGACATAATGATTTGATGCCAGCGTTTTGCATAGTTTCATCTTCATTCAGGAGCTGTTGTTTGCAAACCCTAGTTGCATTTCATGAAGGTCAAGGAATAAAGTCAACTAACTAACTAACTAACTAATTAGCTTTCTCTTACAAGTGTGTGCATGCCTGTTGGCCCAATACAAACTTTTTATATTCAAAAAATAAGGCTATCCTTGAATACATGTAGTGATTAATTATTCTTCAGTTTGTGCTATATTAACCAATAATGACGCTGCAGTATTTCATGAGCCTGTATAAAAAGCTTGTGAAAATGAAAACTTTGAAATGATCATTGGAAAGTCATTTCCTGCGATCCATTGATACCGAAGAGCCATCACTTGGTTGAATTTATGACAGAATAATATTTTGTGGCTTGAAGAAGTGCTTTTACTGAGATGTTGCTTTCGGTTTAAATTCCCCCACATTAGAAATGCTCTTAAATTGAAAGTTGGGGATATATTCTTAATCTATGGGAATCTTTTCATTTTTTTCTCTTTTCTGATTATTCAGGACCTCAAACAAATAATACAGTTTAATAACAGACTGTATAATTAGAATAATAGGAAATAGACAAAGGTTGTATCCTACCATTTCTCAAATGAATATGGGCATTTTTAAAACAAATGTGAACATTCTATTCCATTATTTTTTGAATTGTATTGATATGAAAGAGCTTTCATCAAATTAAAATGTGGCCTTTCGGGGGGGTTACTTACTAATGATACGAACAGCTCTGCCCCATAGCAGTTGGTGGGACTCGATCCAATGGATGATTTTGCAGGCTTTTTCTTCTGCCATATAATGCACTAACGTCCTACCTATTTGAATGCTACTTTAACTGCTGAATAAGAGATCTAGTTATCAATATCACAAACCTGGGAGAAGTTGCAAAAGAAAACCCAGCCAACTCTAGCTCAGCGTTTCTCAACTTCAACAACTTTAAATAGGTGGACTTCAACTTCCAGAATTCCCCAATCATACAGGCTGGGGAATTCTGGGAGTTGAAGTCCACCGACCCTAAAGTAGCAGAGGTTGAGAGGTTGAAGTTGAGAGACTGATCTAAACCTTGCCCTTCTATAAAGCTATAGAACAGTGTTTCTCAACCTTGGAAGCTTGAAGATGGGTGGACTTCAACTCCCAGAATCCCCCGGCCAGCGCTGCTGGCTGGGGGAATCTTGGGGTTGGAAGTCCCCCCATCGTCAAGCTACCAAGGTTGAGAAACACTGCTATAGAAGCTTTATATGTGTCTTCTGCGATAGAGTTGAGAATTCCATGAATTTTGAGTTAAATCCCCATCAATGAAACCTGACATTCGTCTTCCACCGTTTCATTTGTCGCAGGAGTCTTTGAGACCCAAATGCTTTAACATCTTGGAATATCCCATCCATTTGAACTGGATGGTTCCAAGGTCTCCTGCCAGAGGGATAGAAGAAGACCTCTGAATTAGAAGGCCTCTTGAGGTATCTTCCAGCCCTGTCATTCTATGGTCTATGCCTGTTTCCTGTCTTCATTCTCTATGCCATTGGCCACACTGAGATACTCAGGCTTTTGACTTGAGGTTGGCCCTTGATCCCCATTAAGCACTAGGCAGAATCAGGTAGATCTATAGTATGGGAAGGTCTACCCCAGGGAAGGATCCCCTGCTCTGATGGCATCCCAGGACCAGGAATCAGATCCTTTGTAAAGCTGTTAAGAATTTTCATCCAGCCCTGCTTTTTGAAGTAGTGTGTTTATTTATTGATTGATTGATTTGATTGATTGGTTGGTTGATTGATTGATTGATTTATTGGTTCGATTTATATGCCGCCCTTTCTCCGGAGACTCAAGGCGGCTTACAATGCATTAAGCAATAGCCTTCATACTTTTGTATATACCTGCTTAGTAGGGCTTTCGGGCCCCACTAAGTGGTATTCTTTTTTATACAAAGTCAGTTTATTGCCCCCACAATCCGGGTCCTCATTTTACCTACCTCGGAAGGATGGAAGGCTGAGTCAACCTTGAGCCTGGTGAGATTTGAACTTGAAGTAATTGCAGGCAGCTGGTGCTACTTAACAGCACTTTAGTCTGCTGCACCACCAAGGCTCTTGTCATACAAGTGAGGCTCAAAATACCCATGTAGTAGAGCTGTATTACTATTAGCCTTCTTACCTTTTCTACTATCGTCTCCTGTTGGTATCTTATGATTATAATATATTGTTGTTGTTTGCGTACACTGAGAGTTTATGCACTAGAGATAAATTCCTTGTATGTCCAATCACACTTGGCCAATAAAGAATATTCTGTTCTGTTCTTTGTTCCTTTTTCTGTTCTGTTCTGTTCTGTTCTGTTCTCTTCTCTTCTCTTCTCTTCTCTTCTCTTCTCTTCTCTTCTCTTCTATTCTCTTCTCTTCTATTCTATTCTATTCTATTCTCTACATACACACACACGTACACAGGGGTGGGGGGAGAAAAAGGGAGAGAGAGAGAGAGATTTACTTTTCATGCAGGATCAAAAAACTAACAATCCTGCTAGGGAATAGAGGGACTTTTCTCTTAGAGAAACTTAGGGTTCCCCACCCCCCTTTGCAGTTCGGATCTTTCCGGCTTCTACCCATCTCTGGAAGTGCCGGTTATACTTTCTCTTTGCCTTGTTTTGCGAGCGAGTTGTCTTTTGCACCTTTCTGTCTCAATAATCCATGCAAGACCATTTATGACGACTTAAGGGCATTTAGGCGAATAAATTCTATTACCAGATGGGGAATTTTCCCCCCTCAATGAAATGTTTAGGGGCAGAGTATCAGAAACTCGGACCTTAACGGTTACATATTTTAAGGTATCCCAGTCTGCTGAAATGGATTGAATTTAGATTACTTTTTGATACCATTGTCTCTGAGAGCTAAATGGAACTTCGGAAGCATATATCCAATGATAAAAACAGATGTAGCTCCTGGCAGTTGCCTTCAAAATCTTCCGGTAAGCCTTTTGAAGCATTTGTTTGGCAACTGCTGAAAACAAGCTGTTGTGCTAGCTAGAAAGGTAATTTGTTTTCCTATAATTAATTTTCAGTTGTCAGATTTCATTCTCTGATCTTCCCCCAAAGCCAGAAATTGAATGGTGTGTCTAAAATGCCTCCTATCATGTTTGCCCAAAATGTGTACATGGGATACCAGTTTTCCAGGTTTCTAGAGGAATTTGAGACCCATTTGCAAGATTCCAGAGGCCTCAATATACAATTCGAAGGACGAAGCATTATTTTAATCTCGTTAGGAAGCCACGCTAGAACAGCAGCACATCAAACCGGCACTTATTAAGCAGCACTTGGTATCGATTTTCTGACAAACTCTCCTGCTGACAATTGATCTTCTTTTCTTTTTAATACCAAGATCGTTTCTATGCAATTAGCTTAATTTCAAAATCTTTCTGGATGGGACTATCCAAAAGTGTTAAACAGAAAACATTTTATAGGAATCTCGCAATCGCTTTGAAGTATTTATTTTATATCTTACTCACACATTCCCAGAGAAACAGACATCAGCCATCCAGCCAGCAGCGTGCTTGCAAAAACCCTCCGCGCATTCCATCGGAAAGGGCCCAGCAAAAACCCTGCTTGTATTGTGCAATCCAGATGTCACAGTAATTGCAAATTAAAATGCCTTAATGCGAAAGGGAGAGCAAGAGAGAGAATATGTGTGTGAAAATTCAATTAATTTTGTTTTAACGGAAAGTGTTCTAGTTTTAATTATTCTATCAGGAAAAGACAACCGAGGCTTTAAATGGAGATGATTTTAGTATTTGTGATTTTAATTGTCCCGGTTTTAGCTTCGGTTTTGTCTTGTATTTGCCATGTTTTTATATGAGCTGTTTTGAGCACTATGTGAATAGAAAGGTGGGTGAGATAATACAAATAAAAACAAAGACATTTGCTCATTATTTTAGTAAATATAGATCAGTATGCATCCTGAATTGTGCAGTAAAATTGCATGTCAATTTATTACAACAATCCCCATTAATACTCAATTTATTTGATTGTTGTCATACTATCATTTTAAGATCTAGTTCTGTTAATTGCTTTTCATTACGGCGTTCCCCAGTTTTCACCAGATCTTGCTCTTAGAGAAATAATAGCAAACAAGATGGTTAAAAAATTTGAATATTATTCAAATTGTGCAACCTTACCGCACAATTCAGTATACCGATCTAAAATTCATTTGAATTTTAACTGCGTTTGAATTTAGGATGCTATATTTTTCCTCTTTCTCATCATCATCATCATCGTCATCATCATCATTATTATTATTATTATTATTATTGAGAGATGCAATTCTTGTTCCTAATTATTTAAAAGCCAAATTAGGGTTCTAGTAATATCTTCAAAAAAAATCCCATACTTTATCGGAAAGTGTGGCTGTGCAGCTTATTCAGAATTAGTCTAGTATATAATTTTTTTCAAATTTCAATTATTCAGAACGCAGTGTAAGTGGATTGCACTGTTTTTCTTCTTTTTTGATCAATGAATTGGTCTTGCACTGGTTGAAAGTTGAGCTCAGTAGTTCTTAGGTTAGGTTTCATTTTTAGTTTTATTAATTTTTCTGGAAAATTTCCCCAAATATAAGTGGTAGGTTGAATTCCCTCTCCCCAGAAAAAAGAGAAAAGAAAAAAAGAGCACAGAAGCTTCTATGGATGTGATGCGTGTTAATCAGCTGGGATGTTTTCTTTCAGGGTACAAGCAGTCCCTTCGAGAGGCCGACCCAGATTTCGCTGTTCATCAGGGATCGCAGTTCGGAAGGCTGTGCGAGATTAAAGGTACAGATTCCTCCCAGCAGCTCTGCCTCTATTGTGCTTCCAAAGAAAAGAGGTGCAGTTCAATGGATTCACATTTCTGAGCCAACAGATTGTCCCCTCATTGCCATTTTGAAGGCTTGTATAGTAGCTAAACTGCGACGGAGACGTTGGACTTTCGTTTACCAGGTTGCAGGAACCCAGTTTAATGTATCCTAATCAGCACATCATAATTCTCCCAAAGGTATTTTTTTTATTTCAAGAGGCAAATGGACTTTCTTTGTTTTTCCTTGAAGACGTTTCACTTCTTATCCAAGAAGCTTCTTCAGTTCTGACTGATCTCACATTTAGAAACAATGCAGTCTTAATTCCATATGTCCTAAGAGAGGAAATTATGATTTAGAAATTTTAAGCATGACACTTTTAAGCATGACTGGCTGCGGCTGCATAATTTCCCCACCTGAAGCCTCAGGGCTGTCCTGCTGCAGCTGTGTTTGAGCCAAATCCCTCTCAGATATCTGCTTGGAGCCATTGACCAACTCCCCTCCTGACATGTGTGGGACTGGTTCATCTTCCTCTGAGCTGACATCTGGAGATGTATCTGGGGAAGTCATCACAGGTGCCAAGTGGATGACATCCAGCTCTACTTCTCTTTTCCATCTTCTTCAAGCGGGTCAACCTTGGGTGGGCCCAGCACAGAGCAGACTGAAGTTGGGATGAAACATAAGTAGCTAGATCTGAATGTGGGCCAGTCCGAAGGTGTGCATGATTTACCTTTTTGTCAGCGGTGCATGATTTACCATCTTCATAGAAAGAGTTTTCCTGGCTTTTCTGATCCATGTCTCCCAAAGGGGTTGCACTGATGATGTTACCTAGCTTGGTAATGAAACGTCTTCAAGAAAATCACCAAGCTCAGAGAACACCAGGGACTCCACAAATAGGTTTGTGGTACTGGGCATTATGCAGGCAAGAGCAAACCCAGAAGTGCAATGGATCCAGAACCCAGCACTCAGAGTGTCTTTAGATGCTCCCCATTGGGAACATGAGAGAACTCTCCATTGCTCCCAAACAAAATTCAAAGGGCTTGTTTCAACTACATGACTTGAATCCCGCCTGCCTAAAGAATATGATTTCCTGTTTTGCACCAACCAACAATTCCCTTCCCCCTCTATCGAATGCTGCCTAGGAAGGGGGCATGGCTAGAAGTAATTGAGGTTCAATAGCCACACTATACAGTGGTACCTTGATACTCAATTGCTTTGAAACTCATCAAATTTGATAATGCATTTTGACATGAAAATTTTGTCCCGGTAGTCAACACACAACCTAGAACTTGTCGGTGTTGGCTGCCTTGTGACTCACTACATCATTCTTTAGTGGGGGTGGGGGGGAGAGAATTCGTTTGATACTCATCATTTTTGGTACTCATCACACACCCCCATACCCCCAGAATCAATTAACAATGACTACTAAGGTACCATTGTATTGTCATCTCTCTCCTCTGAGAATATAGTCCTTGGCTGATTTTTAGAGAAACCCCTAAGCCTACAGTGTTTGTTTAAGTTAAAAAAAAATTGCACTTTTTATGAATTGCTATGATGGGTGCGTTTGGTTTTATGTTTGCTTTTATAATTATTCGTTATTTTATCGTTTTGTCTGATGATGTTTTAATTAAAAGTTGCGGTTTATTGCTATTTTGTGTTGGGTTTTAAACCATCACAGGCTGCTCTGCCAGGTGTGTGCGAGCTTAAATAGTTCTTTTGATCATTTATTCCTGTTTTGTAAACTTTCCTATTTAGTTAGGAAGAGACTGGTCAGCCATTTGTCCAGAATGGGACAGGTCCTCCTGCTTGAGCAAAGGGTTGGACTAGAAGACCTCCATGGTTCCTTCCAGACCTATGGTTCTAGATTCTATCGTTGAAATGTATTTTGAAAGCTTTAAAGTTTTAAACTTAAGCTGAAAATTAAATATAGGTATCGAAGACATATGAGTGCCGTTGTAGGTCTTCTGGCTTGTTTATTGCATTATTAAACTTTACTAAATAAATAAATAACTAATCCATAGGTATATGCATGTAAATCATGCATAATTTGCCTCTTAGTGGCTCTTGATAAATTAGCTCATATTTGGTCTTCGTTTTGAAAAAGAATTCTGTCAAAAAGCTTGCGATTGGATTTCTTAGCAAGTTTCACAACTCTGCAGGAGATGGGTGGCGGGTATGGGATGCGTTGCGTATTGATGTGAGGTCGTGTACTTTGGGGGCCGAATATAGTTTCCAGGTGGCGCTGTTGGCCATTTAACATGGTGCTCAGTACAAACCCTGGTTTATCTTCACGGGCACGTTTGAGAGGGAGACACAGGGTTTTCCTGGCAAGGATGATAGGGAGGTTTTTATGAATGAGTGCAATGAACTTCCACTTGGAACTTGGAAAGAAGCATGAAGGGAGGTGTGAGATTGTGATTGCAAAGGGGTTGTATTGTCAGAATCTGACCTATGAATCATTACCCAGCAAGTTTCCCGGGAAGGACGCAGGGCAGTCGATCTACGTCTCTCTAAAACAGGGCTGGAGAGCTATGGTCTTTTTATGACTTGTGGACTTCAACTCCCAGAATTCCTGAGCCAGCCATTCTGGCTGGCTCAGGAATTCTGGGAGTTGAAGTCCACAAGTCATAAAAAGACCATAGTTCCCCATCTCTGACCTAAAGGGAGGCTCCTAAAGGGAGCCTGGATAGCTCTGCAGACAAAGACACTGTAATTTAACACCAGCTGTCTGCAATTAAAGTAAGTTCGAATCTTGCCAGGCTCAAGGTTGACTCAGCCTTCCATCCTTTCTAAGGTAGGTAAATTGAGGACCCAGTTTGTGGAGGCAATAAGCTGACTTTGTATAAAATATACAAAAGTATGAAGGCTATTGCTTAACGCATTGTAAACCGCCCTGAGTCTCCGGAGAAGGGTGGCATATAAATCAAATTTTTAAAAAAAGGGGGGGAATCAACATAAAATTGTTGATTTTTGTTGTTGTTTTTTCCCCTTCGCTCCTTTAACAGAAGAGCAAAAAATATTAATTTGTTAGTGGCCAAGATTGCTGGCTACCCAGAATGACACACTCTACATGATCCATGTATATTTCAGCATCATTATTATTTCATAAATGCCATTTGCACAAAAAAATGTATCCTCAAAATTTATGGGAGCCTAAAATAATAACTTAATTGCCTTTATATATTATGAAGGCACTAATGTTGTTTTGTCCTCAGTGTAACTCTTCTCTATTGTGGTGTTTATTTAAGGGAAGATTTGTTACTTCTGAATGAGTTGGAAAGTTATGGGCAGCATGGAATCATCACACGTGGCAAGCAGGCAGCTACTCAGACTACAGAACAGGTTCAGAGACGAGGTCTCCAGTCCGTGATTCTCGAAGGAGCATCATTTCTGCTGTAGAAAATATCCCAAAGGTGCTTTTTCAGGAGGCAACTGGACTTCCTTGTTTTTCTTTTGAAGACATTTCGCTTCTCATCCAAGAAGTTTCTTCAGCTCTGACTAGATGATGGGGAATGGAAGCTTCTTGGATGAAAAGTGAAACGTCTTCAAAAGAAAAAACAAGGAAGTCCAGTTGCCTCCTGAAAAAAACACCTTTGGGACAACCAGGACCTGGAGGACTGAGAATCTCTACAGAATCCTAGAAAATACTTACAAGAAGACTCTTACAATTGCTCTGTCCTTACTCTATCCCACAAAATGAATGTAATGGTATATTAGCTGAAGATAATTGCAAAGCATTAATTCTGCTACCCTCAGCATTGTAATTTTGATGATTTTATATAAAGTACTGCCACCTTGGATGCTGTTTACACTTCTGTCCAGAGGAAGCTTTCAATATGATTTAGTATGTCGAAGAAAGCAGAAGAAGGGGAAAACGTGGAAAGCACAATAAACTAAGCCAGTGTTTCTCAACCTTGGCAGCTTGAAGATGCTGGCTAGGGAATTCTGGGAGTTGAAGTCCACACACCTTCAAGGTTGAGAAACACTGAACGAAGCCAAGCAAAGAATGAAAAATTCTTTTTAGTGTCCAGAATAATTTGGTACCATCAGCAAACTCCCAATTCTTCCTGGATCATTTGTTCATGGCCATTGGTCAAGTTAAATAGAAGAAAGAGAGAGAGAGAGAGAGAGAAGGGAGGGGGGAGAAGGAGAGGGGAGGGGAGAGTGGGAGAGGGAGAGAGAAGGAGAGAAAGATCAAGATAGAGCAATGTAAAATGATTGTTAGAATTGCTGAAGAGTCTTTAGTAAACACTGGAGATATGGGTTCATATCCCACTTCTGACACACCCCTTCTTTTAGAAGAGGTCAATAACCTAGTCTCCAAAGCACCTGAAGGCAGGAGATGGAAACTAACCAAGGAGGGAACTAACCTAAAACTAAGGAGAAATTTAATGAAAGTGAGAACAATTAATCAGTGGAACAACTTGCCTCCAGAAGTTGTAGGTACTCTATCACTGGAGGCTTTTAAGAAGAGACTGGTCAGCCATTTGTCTGGAATTGTATAAGGTCTCCTGCTTGTGCAGGGGGTTAGACTAGAAGACCTCCAAGGTCCCCTCCAACTCTGTTATTCTATTATTCTGTTAAACACTACCAGATCATACCTGCGCTTGATTTCCTTTTACAGCAGCCTTGGCGGTTCTTCAAATCTCACCAGGCTCCAGGTTGACTCAGCCTTCCGTCCTTCTGAGGTCGGTAAAATGAGGACCCAGATTGTTGGGGGCAAGATGCTGACTCTGAAAACTGTTTAGAGAGGACTGCAAAACATTGTGAAGCAGTACATAAGTCTAAATGCTATAGCTATAACATTTTCAACAATGCATCTGAAACAAAGATTTCTAACCTATCAGATTTGTATTCCTCCTGCTTTTTTCTTTGTTTTAAAAATGGGGTCATGTTGGCCCATTCAACAGGGTATGATTGGGTTTCAGTGGGAAACCTAGTGATTTGGGGAGTCTTCTTCTGTCCCCACCCTGCCAGAGGTATGTGGAGTGTGCTAGATGGCTGCCCCCCTGCTCTGGGATGTTTCACCTCCCTCTCACCTTGCATTTCTCAAGGCCCTACTTGATTTGAGGGGCCCAACTTGGCCATTTGTATCTGTTGTATTTTTAAGGTATTAAGCTTTTCTTTCTGTTCTTGTCTTGCTTTATTGTTTGCTGCCCAGAATCTATCTTTCTTACTTATTTATCAAATATAGAAATCACCCAATCAGTAAATTTATCAGCAAAGTCTAAAGGCTCATCCCCTGTCTCCATTATTTGCTTTAGCTCTCCAACTCCGCTCTTGAGAAGTTCAGGCATAGGGACAAATACCTATGGAGAACTTTTCCCACTGCTCAATAATCTTTTGATCTGCCTTTTGTTTCCTTTTGACTTCCTGCTCATCTAGCTTTCCGAAAGGACCCAGTGAGCCTTCTGTTTCGCTTGCTGCTGATGGCACTCTTAAGATAGGGCTACTCATTTTGCACCTGTACGTTCCTTTTTCTCCCCTTGGCTGGACAACACAATTGAGTTTTCTAAAGAAACCCTTCCTTCTTCCATTGCAACTGCATGGATTCATAGGCATGCATAAGAGCAGCAGCGTGCCTACCATCCCTGTCCTAATGCTTCTTCTATTTGTACCTATTTTATGTATCCAATCCATGCTTATACTTATTACCAAATATGTTCTTGACAAATAAAAAATAAATAAAAAATAAATAAAATAGTGGTGGACCCTTGGACTTTGATGACTTCTCCTTTGGTTGCCTCCCAATTTCAGTAATCTCATCTTGAAAAGAGCAGATCTCTCTGAAAGGGTGTTTAGAAGGATAGTCATCATCCCAGGGCCCTCACTTCATAACGACTATGCATTCTTGCTCTCCTTTTCTCTCCTCCCTCTCCCTCTCCCTCCCCCTCTTTCTCCCTCCCTTCTCTTTCCCTTCCTCTCCCTCTCCCCCCCCCCCCCCCGTGTAGGCTCTTATTACACTCCTGGTTATCATTTCCCAAATTCTGTTTTTAACAACTTCTTCAAATCATCTATGATGATGATGATGATGATATATTTTCTTATTCTGACACAACAATTAACCAGTGGAACAGCTTGCCTCCAGAAGTTGTGGGTGCTTCATCACTGGAGGTTTTTAAGAAGAGACTGGACAGCCCTTTGTCTGAAACGGTATAGATTCTCCTGCTTGATCTCAAAGACCTCCAGGGTCAGTTCCAACTCTGTTATTCCATTATTAAAAGTCAGTACGTAAGAGAGCCCGAAACCCTTTGCTGTTCTTCTACCTTTCTTTATTCCTTTGAGTTATCCTGGATACTTTGGCATTAATTCCCAAAAGGGGGAAAAACTTCCTATCCTGATCTTGCAAAATACTTAATCTCGCACAAGTGCTTCATTCACCTGCCCACCTATTTTCTTACTATTGTGAAGCTTGGTCTCCAGGCCTGAGATGTTTTGTCAGTGGGTCTCCCCATCTGCTGAAGATCTTGGAATACTAAGCGGATGCAGGCTGGTTGTGAATCACGAGCACAATGAGGCAAATGCAGTTTTAAGCTACATCAACAGAAGTACAATTTCCAAATCATGGGAAGTAATCATTCCATTACAGCCTGCTTTGATCAAAGCCTACTTTAAATACTCTCTCAAATTCTGATCACCACATTTCAAGAAGGATCCAGAGTAAGTGCAGTGAGGAGTAGAAATTAGGTCCTGTGAAAAGAGAGGGAAGGAATTGAGTATATTTAGTTTAAGATGAGTAGGGAAATGCTGCATATTAAGATGCTTCCAACAAAAATGGAACTGGAGGGCTTTTGGGTCGCTTACACAAGCATTTTGTGCCACAAGCACAAGGCTCATTGCTTAGGAGAAGTACTTCTAAGGAGGCATTCTAACTGCTCCATACTAGGACCTTCTTTGGGAAAAAACAGTACAAAGCAAGATTTATTTATTTATTTTATGAGATGACTGTCTGTGCTGACTTCTAAGAGCCGGTAGCTGAGCTTTGTATAGTCCAGTGTTTCACAACCTCAGCAACTTTAAGATGGGTGGACTTCAACTCCCAGAATTCCCATCTAGCATGCTGGCTGGGGAATTCTGGGAGTTGCGGTCCAACCATCTTAAAAATTGCTGATATTGAGAAACACCGATAGAGTCTGTTGAACTTCGTTTTCCAAACCACACACCCTTCCTGCCAAGCTACAAAGCCAGTCATTTAGCTGTGTTACCTGAGATTTTGTGCTAGCATGTTGCAGACTTCATTCTGAAAGCCAGTTGTTCTACAAGTTGTTTTGCCTTTAGTAAGCAGGATGGAACCGAGGAGTCAAAGGAACAAAAAGTTAAAATACCTACTTTCTCAGGTGATAGGATAATGGAAAACCTCAAGCAATGTTACCTTTTTGACAACGATTATCAATGTGTCGTCTTGTCATTGTTTTTTTTTCTCCCGTTAAAGATCCAAATGTGGACGTCATCTATATTTGCCCCTTAGAATTAAGTGAAGAATTGCTGCGCTACTACAATAAACTCCTGGGTCTGCAGCCAGCCGTTCGGTCTGGGAACCCCGAGGACATTGGTGACCTACAGGACAGGTTCAAAATCCTCACCCCTGAAGCCATCAACAGTTTTCCTGTGAGTTTGTATCTTCTAATTACTATAGCTGGGGGGAATGCCGTAAAATTAAATTGGAAATTTTATAACTTGCAACGCTCTGGTACCCATCAGTGAAATATTATTGCAAGTGTTAAGAGCTGCACAGATTAAGTGACTAGTTAAAAGAGTGTTAGAAATAAAAGTCCAGTTGAGTTTTTCAGGCTGAAAGCTGAGCTCAGCTAGGCCTTCACTGCTGATTTCTGCCCAACGCCTGGCCCCTTTTAAGATGATGAACTTCAGAGGTTGACCACATTATGGAAAGCAAATTGCACAAAATACTGCTCACATATCCCGTGGCTGAAGTGTGCAGATAGTTCTTATTTTCTATTATATATTCTTTTATACATATACACACACACACACAATTATATATGTGTGGGGTGTGTCTGCGTGTGTGTGTGTGTACTGTGTGTGTATATACACACATTATATTTGTATGTGTGTATATGTTGTGGTCCGCCAGCAGCCTGCGGACCTGGCAGCAGAGTCGCACAGTGAGGAAGCTGGGGAAGACAATGGGCCAGTCCTGGAGTCTGGGGAAGGCCCGGACGAGGGCTCTGCATCGGAGGCAGAGATGGGGCCAAGGCCATCTAGGAGCGATGCGTGAACTCCGGAGCCTCTAGAGGCGGACAGCAGAGAGGCAGAGGAACAGGAGGAGCCTGTTCCTAGTGCACGCATGGCATGCGAAGAGCTGCCAGAAGGCAAGAGCAGCTGAAGCAAAAAGGACGACTCGGGAGTAAGGCCAGAAGATGATTGGCCCCTCCCATAAGGCTTAAAAGAGCAGCAACGAGCCGTTGGGTTCTTTGTAGAAAAGCAATGTTGATTCCAGTGCTTCTTGTCAACGTCTCTTGAACTTTGTGGGGGTTTTGCCAAGAAAAGCCTTTGACAAGTTGCCAAAGACATCAAAGGTTGGTGATGAGGCCGGAGGACTGGTTATGAAGAATTTGTTTTGGACTAAGCTGAGAATGAATTAATTCTCAGCTGTTTTAATAAAATAAGTTCTTCAGGACTGAATTGTGTTTGGTAATCACTACTTCGGCCTTGGTCACAACAGTATATGTGTGTGTGTAGATAAAAATATTCTATATTATATTTTCTATTATATATTGCCTACCCTCAGGTACAAATTGTTGGATCTGATAGTAGGACAAGACGCAGTGGATGGAAGCTTGTTAAAGAAAAATCCAACCTGAAACTAAATTCAGAAATTTCCTGAATTAATCAGTAGAAAGGCTTGCCTCCAGAAGTTGTGGGTGCTCCAACACTGGAGATTTTCAAAAATAGACTGGACAACCGGTTGTCTGGAAAGGAATAAGGTCTCCTGCTTGGGCAGGGGTTGGACTAGAAGACCTCCAAATCACTTCCAGCCCTAAGATTCAATAAGACATTATTTATTTATTTAGCATATGATGAGAACATGCCAGAAGAGAAGTAAACATATATACACAGTCCACACGTAATTATAGATAAACATTCTATGGGTGTATCGGCAGTGGCCTCAAAACTGGATGTCCAGTTCAGCTGTCCAGACAGTCACCTCTGGCGTTGCTTCGTGCAGATCTTCTAGGGAACCAGAGAACGCACACTGTCATGGCCAGTCTTGCACAATGCGTTTAATAGTTGCATATCAGCATCACAATCGCAACAAGGGGAATCTTTCCATCCCCACTGATACAGGGCAGAGGCACGTCTTCCACAGTGGTGGGTTTCAAAATTTTTTACTACCAGTTCTATGGGTGTGGCTTGGTGGGCGTGGCATGGCTTGGTGGGTGTGGCTTGGTGGGCGTGGCAGGGGAAGGATACTGTAAAATCTCCATTCCGTTCCCAATCCAGGGGAAGGTTACTGCAAAATCCCCATTTCCTCCCGATCAGCTGGGACTCGGGAGGCAGATGGGGGCGGGACCAGTCAGAATTTTTACTACCGGTTCTCCAGAACTGGACAGAACCTGCTGAAACCCACCTCTGGTCTTCCAGTACCACACCTGATTCTGTTCAATTTTGGCCAGACAGAGCGAGGCAAGTCAAAACTAGGTGGTTAGGCAGAGGTTTCACTAATGGTCAGGCCACAAGGAGGCACCCTGGACCCTTCATCTCTCTGGGCCTTCTCAGGGTTTAAACCAGGGGTGGGATTCAAGTAATTTAACAGCCGGTTCTCTGCCCTAATGATTTCTTCCAACAACCAGTTCACCAAACTGCTCAGAAAGTTAACAACCGGTTCTCCCGAAGTGGTACGAACTGGCTGAATCCCACCACTGGTTTAAACTGGATAGGTGCTAAGTGAATAGCTCTTTTCCATGCTGGCCTATGGGATTTCAGCCTTGTGAAGGACTTGTCTACAGCACGGGTGTCAAACTCGCCATGTCACATTGCCGTCACATGACGCTTTGCAATGTCTTTCCCTTTCATGGAGCTGGTGTGGGCGTGGCCTGTGTGTGACGCATCCAGCCTGCGGGGCCGCTAGTTTGACACCCCTGGTCTACAGTATAACATAAGTTCAGAATTTTTTCTGTGTTTTATGCTCCTTTACCCTCTCTCATTTTTATTATTGTAGCAAAATTATTGTCAGGTTTCAATGCTATCTCAAAATAAATGAACTTCCAAACTGCCAATCTTTAAGGAAATTTTCTCTTTATTCGAGCGCAGCAACCTGATCCTGACTCTTCGCGGTCAATACTGACCTTTGCCCCCCAATCCCTCCCTTTCCAATCCCCAATTCTCTGCTTCTTGTTGGCTATCTTCCAAGTCACTCTCCTGATTCCTTTTCCGTCAGTTCACAGGAATTTTTCCCCCCTCCTCATCTCCGAGGAGACCGAATCTTCAAAGGGATTTAGCAGGCAAAAGTTCAGGCTTCATCCTCCCTTTTCTATGTCAGTGCTGAGACGCTGACACCAATTTATGACTTTCCACTCCGTGCCCTTGAATTACTTTCTGTTTTTAATTGAGGGGTGCTGGATTAGTCGTAGTTTTGAACCGTCTAGACAGATTTGATTCCCCAGCCTATCAGTCCCCATCTCACAGGCTGGTTGTTGTGGGAGGAATAGAAGGAAGGAGTATTAGACACATTCGCTCCCTTGAGCTATTTATAAAAATCAGTAAGGTGAGATAAAAATAAAAAATAATATATCTGCTCTAAAGGAAGGGTTCTCTGGTCCCCTAGATTCTTTTGATCCCGCTGCAATGCAATAAATGGGGGTCCTAGGCAAATCCCATAAACACTGTTGAAGTTGGGGATCTTGCCTGTATCCCAAGGTTGCTTATTCATTTCTGTGCATGAAATATAAATCCTTTTCACTGGAAGAAGATTTCTGGGTCATTATTAAAACTATAAAATTATGATGCTGTTCTCTACAAGAACTCTGTTTGTGTTGCACTATCACAACAGGCATATCTGCCAGCTCTTAAATTTTGTGCTGTTACAAGCTTGTTTGTATAGTTTAGCCGATTCATTGTTTTTATACAGACATTGTTAAATATATGACTTGTGATACAAGCCTCTTTTTGGCCAGAAGAAAGAGGAAAATTGTGGCTCAGAACATCTGGATTGCTGAATACAGTTTATTAGCTTTGTGTTGCCCGTTTGTGTTGTCTGTTATGTAAGCAGTAAGTTTGTTACTGACCATTAGAAATGAAAATAAATGAAAAAAAAGAAGAAATTAGAAGACTTTTCATTCCGCTTCTCTAATGTCTTTGTGATCTGTAACTCCATTAAATATTCCTTCCATATCAATGTCATTAATGAAAATGTTGAAAGGGTTGAATTTTACAAAATCACATTTAATATATCACCACTTTGATGAGAAACTGTTGACAAACATTGTGATTTGAAGCCAACGCTGTATCTATTTGTCATGTCATCTGGTACATGCTTAACTTGTTTGCTTATCATAATGTCACAAGTTGCTGTATTTTTAAAATGCTTTTTGCAAATGAAATATTGTACGTATATATAATTCCCCAATCTAAATTTCTTAATTTTGTTAAATAAATTTATTTTCATCTGTTAAAAAAAAAAATGAAAATAAACATAGGCCAGGATGCACGGGTGCGTGGGGCATAAAGAGTGCATTTTCAGTAACTTGGGTGAACAGACAATGAATTCTTTATCAAAGAAAGCTAAACCCTGGAATTAAAGTTAGAACTGCAAATGTGATGAGAAACGGGCATTAATAGTCATGTACAGTTAGTCCTCGACTTACAACAGTTCATTTAGTGACCATTCAAAGTTACGACAGCACTGAAAAAAGTGACTTATGATCATTTTTTACACTTATGATTGCTATAGCATCTCCTTGGTCACATGATCAGAATTCATATGCTTGGGAACGGACTCGCATGTATGACGGCCGCAGTGTCCCGGGATCATGTGATCCCCGCTTGGGTGAACTTCTGACAAGCAAAGTCGATGGGGAAGCCAGATTCACTTAACAACCATGTTGCTAACTTAACATCTGCAGTGATTCACTTAACAACTGTGGCAAGAAAGGTCGTAAAAGGTGGCAAAACTCACTTAACAAACATCTCACTTAGCAACATTGTGGTCGTAAGCTGAGGACTACCTGTATGCAAACATAACATCAGAGCTCGGTCAGTATAAAATGCAACATGAGAGGATTGCAAACAAAATAAGCTCAGATTTCTTGGAGGACATCTCTGGGTCTGTATTCATTCATTCATTTATGATTTATTTGTTAAATTTATTTGCTACCTATCTCGCTCTGGGGCTACTTTAGGCGGCTTACACAGACAGAGAGGGCCTGAGCTCCCTTGGTCATTCTTTGGCACTCTTTGGGGACTTTCAGAATCAGGAGGATGAGATGACATAAGAGGGTGTCTGTATCTTTGAAAAAGCATCAGGGCTCTGGAGTTTTAGATCCCATGCAGATATTTAGATTTTAGCATATGATGGTGTTAAGCTTTTTCTAATCTATCACTATAATTAAAGGGGCGGATTTATAGTGGCTTTACATGCAATGCAATTTAATACAATACAACAACACAACACAATACAGGTCTCTAGAAGAATGTGCTCTAAATATTACCAATTGGTTAGGTACACAGCTGGTCTTACTTGTTTATGCTGTTGCCAGATCCCTGCACAGGTTTATGCTTTTATCCATTTCTACATATTTTTCGTTTATTCGTCTCCTATTTTAGGCACGCTTTATAGCAGGCCATTTTACAGATTATAAAGACAAAATAGGCTTGCTACTGAGAGTATCATTAAGAGAGAGTTTCAGGCAATCACAGATCCCAGATGAATATTCCAGCACAATTTATGTTTGCGAACAACCAGTTTTCTGATATACAGTCTATATGTTGTGGAGATGCACCGAAAATAGAATTTGTGACACATTCCAAACTTTTGTCTTCTAATCTTTTAAACAAACCTTTTTGACCTGAATGACTGTTGTAGGAAGGGTTTGTAGCTAATGAAACTGTTTATCCTCTGGAAAAGAATATGGCACGTAAAAGGTGTTTTGTAAATGAAATCATTTGCTGAAAGAGCCATTTAAAATACTGATTTTGGTGGGCTGAAATACAAACTCGGACGGCTTGGTGTGCATTCTTCATTTTTATTTTATTTTTTTGGTATTGATTTTTTCCCCCTGACGTGGTAGAATCAAACGGTGCCAGAAGTGTTGAGATGAATCACTGTTATCCGAGGGCTGCAAGCTTCTCTTCCGAGTGACAGAAGGAGAATTCCGCATGGATCAAATAAATACAGATGTGTAGTAATTAGTTTTATTCCCAGCGAGCCCATTTCCGACACACTAAAGATGTGAGTGATTATGGAACCTCACCCCAACAGCTTTTATCAATTTAAACTGCTACGCTACAGGATAGGTCATAACCCAGCCTGCTATTAATAATGTATTTATTGCACTCAACATTATAAATTAGCTCGGTGGAAGGAAGAGAAAGCGCACTTCTTAACGAGACTAATGTCTTCCTCCTCCAGAACCGCCCCATGTCCCTGGCCTCCTTCTTGAAATACAGCCCTAAGATCCTTAAAAGGGTCAGAAACCTGGTCCAAGGCAAGGAAGCCTATATCGTGGGAGGCCTTCTGAACCAAGATGACCTGGAAGTGGCCGATGTGCTAGACTTGCCCATTCTCGGTTCTGATCCAGAAGTGGCTCATCTTTACAGCACCAAGTCCGGAAACAAAAGAGTCTTTGATGCTGCAGGTGTTCCGGTGCCTCCCGGGCAATATGACATCTATAGCAGGCATCAGGTAAGACTGGCCACGGATTGGGCAGGTCAGGAAATCTGAGCTGAGACTATTAGGAGGCGCCATTTCTTTCCCTTCCATTCTTACTTGGATAGAGCTCAACTTCTGCTGCCAAAGTATCAGAGGACTGAGGTCCATAATTGATTCAGCCCCGGAACTCAGTTCCTAAATGGTCAGTAAGGGAGCGTTATGGTATATGGCAATGACCTTGGGAGAGAGACCCCTAGGGCAGGGGTCGGCAACCTTAAACACTCAAAGAGCCACAAAGGTCCTAACTGGAAGCCCCGTTTAATTCCGGAGCCAGCCCAAAGTCCGGTTCCCCCACCACAGAGTCTCCTCCTAGTGAGGTGTCATTTTTTCCTCTATGGGTCCTAACTAAAAGCCCTATCAATTGTGGAGCCAACCGGCGACAGGGGGCCGCAGCAGAGGGATGAAAGAGCCACATGTGGCTCCAGAGCCACGGGTTGCTGACCCCTGGCCTAGGGGAACAATCAGATAAGAGAAGATAGAGCCCTCAGCTGTATAATGGGCAGAGAAAAAGGTTCAGAAGGGACCCTCCCTAGTTTTGGGGCTGTCAAGGAGAAGATTTGTACTTTCAGACTTGCACAATTGTGCAAGATCCAATCTGGGTCGGTCACCGGGACCAGAGTCTTCCAAACTTTCAGACTCATGCTGGAGCCCATCCTCAGGGAATGAATGTGATCCAGATTGGATCCTGCAACATTATCCAGGGACACCTACATTTGCCTTCATTCGTTGCCCAATTCTGTTAATGTAGCCTTACAATAAAGTAGAATTAGTTTATCTGGCGGTGTTTCCTTTCTAGTCTGCTCGGGAAGGCTGTCGTCAGTCTTGAAAGTTGGAAAGTACAAACCTTCCACTGTCTCTTTTACAGCCCAAGAATTTCGGGAGGGTCCCTTCTGACCCTCTTTCTCCACCCATTGTGCAGCTGCAGGCTATGCCTTCACTTATCTGACCGTTCCCAAGGCAGCATCTCCCCTCACCCCGGTCTCCCAAGGTCATTCCCACATACCATTACAGGAAGCTATGGGTTCCTTTGCCAGAGGGTTGAAGTGCAAACCTTTGTTCAACCATATTTTTTTATTCAAGGCATTGGTGTAATGCCCAGGTGCTCTTTCCTTGATTTCCTTGATTCCTTGATTTGGGCAACAAGGATTCTGCAGTGCAGAGCACCAACCTCAAGCATCTTTCCACTAAGAGAGCCTACTTGGTTCCACGCAAAGTACAGAGATAATCTCTGAAAATAAAAATGCCAGCAGACTGCAGCCCTGGATATAGTTTGCCTCCTTCTGATGATGGGCACTCTTGATTTGCTGCATTCACCATTGCCGTGGCTTTATGAGAGGGCCAACAAAATCTTCTCCAAGCTCCATCTGAGGGCCCCATTTTGAGACCTTACAACAGTGCTTCTCAACATTGGCAGCTTTAAAATGAGTGGGCTTCAATTCCCAGAATTCCACAGGCAGCCATGCTAGCTGGAGATTTCTGGGAGTTGAAGTCCATCCATTTTAAAATTCTCACAGTTTGCTTGGAAGTAAGTTTAGTTGAAGTTAATGATATATTTTTCTCCAAATAACTGCAATAACAATTGCTCATTGTTAATAATCTTAATAAGGATCTCAACAATAATCCACAATACATTTTTTTCATAATAAAGTTCCCAAACAGTGGACTTGAATTATCCTGCAAATACATCTGCATACAGGAACTCATTTACATAATTATTGAAGCAATTTGCCAATTTTACAGCTACCTAAATTGTTAAGGCTTTTTGTCCCTCAATATACTTCTCCGTTTTATAGGGGACCATTTGAGACTGTGAAGACCAATCTAGGACCGCAGCTTATTCTTCATAGAGAGTGTATGTTTTGAATTAGATTCTGGAGGAGGAAATGGAAAGCATTTCCAGTTCTAAATTGACCCAATTTTAGGAACAATATGTACAATCTTATACATGGAGATGGAATGGAGTGCTGTGGAATATAGGTTTTGTCAATGAAATCAAAACTAAAAATAGTTCATGTACCTGTCAGCCCTGCCTTAACTTGAACCTTTAGGCAAGTACGATCCTTGATTTCATTTGTTGATAAAGGTATAGTTTACTAAAGGTCAAGTGGATTAAAGGTAAAGTTCTCCTCGCACATATGTGCTAGTCATTCCCAACTCTAGGGGGCGGTGCTCATCTCCGTTTCAAAGCCGAAGAGCCAGCACTGTCCGAAGACATCTTGGTGGTCATGTGGCCGGCATGACTCAACATCAAAGGCGCATGGAACTCTGTTCCCTTCCCACCAAAGGTGGTCCCTATGTTTCCACTTGCATTTTTTACATGCCTTCGAACTGCTAGGTTGGCAGAAGCTGGAACAAGTAACAGGAGCTCACCTCGTTACGCGGCACTCGGGATTCTAACCACTGAACTGCCGACCTTTCAATGGACAAGCTCATCGTCTTAGCCACTGAGCCACCACGTAAGGAAAGCCAGAACTGAGGTTCACGTGCCAAATCCTTAGGTATAACTTTTTCTCTCCCAGACACTTCCCCTTGCTGGTTCTCCCCCCACATATCGCCAATCAGTTTTAAAAGACATGGTTTTGAAACAGTCACTGGTGCAGCCGCATTCTTCTCCCAGAGAAACGACCTTGAGAACTCGTCTCGGAGAGGCCTGCTTCTTTGCATCAGTTTCACTTTCCCCCAAGCATTCCCCTTTCCTTCCACCCTCTCCCCAGGACCATGGCAGATTGGCATTGAACAATTGCAAAATGCAGGCATGAAGTGGACATTCTGACGGTTTCCTTTTGACCATATAAAAATTAAGAGTCTTCTACAGCATTAGACAGAATTGCTAAAGAATTACAAGCAAGCAAGATATCAATGTGGTGTTGTCGGTGGTCTCTGAGAATGGTGGATTTCTTGCAAATGTTTCATTATCAAACTAGGTAACATCATAAATGCTGCAAGAAAACCACCAAGCTCCAGAGAGCATGAAGGACCCCCCCCCAATTCAACCCTGAGCTATACATGTTCTTTTCTATCGGTAGCGTGTCATCAAATGACTCATTGCAGTTGAATCCTATAGAGCCTATGTAATCCTATGTAGTCCTTGCTCAGCACTCAGCCCATCCGTGTTCTAGGTACGTTTCCAGCTTCTACTGATGTCACGCAAAAAACATTGGCTCCCAAAGTTACAGCAGTTATGCGTGGAAAAAGATGGATGTCTGGAGGACAGAAGATTTGGGGTATACAGCTCTATGCATATTGCTTCCATTGGGGCCAGATCCTATCTGTGGGAGCCAAACTGGATTCTCTCCTGCAGATATTCAGGCTCAATGTACAGGTGCTTGCTGGGAAGCCTGCATCATTAGAACATCATTGGGCACTTCTCCAGGGTGAGCTTTCCAGAACGAAAACACCTGAATGGGTCTCCTTCCTACCTCAAAACACTGCTTTTTAATGTGCGGTTCTTACTAGTTTTCAAGGACTGAAGCGTTCTGGAGCACCAGTAGCAATTATGAACAATTAGGTTAAAACTTATTTATATCATTCACTTTTCCAGTTTTCAATGAATGATGTTTTTAGAAAAAAATCCTCTACCTGCTTGTGTTCTATCTTTAGGTATACTAAAGGTGTTAGAGATTGATGCAGTGGTCTGAAAAAAATCTCAAAAAGCCAATCTTTGGCTGTATTGGAAGGCTCCCTGGGCTGTGTGGCTTCTCACCCATCCTTGCTTTGTAATGAGTGGGCATCTCCCATACTTTAGAAGACTGCTGTTTACTCAGTACCAGAGAAAATAGCTACACTGGCAGCTGATTATTTCATGAGGTCAGATATCCTTGGCTGATTTATGAGTTTCCAGAGTATTTTCCCTATAATGAGCATAGGCATTTTTGCAGGTTTAAGGACTATAACTTCACCTACTATTAGGAGCCTGGTGGCGCAGTGGACTAAGTGCTGTTAAAGTAGCACTTAGCTGCCAGCTGCCTGCAATTACTGCAAGTTCAAATCTCACCAGGCTCAAGGTTGATTCAACCTTCCATCCTTTCGAGGTAGGTAAAATGAGGACCCGGATTGTGGGGGCAATAAGCTGACTTTGTATAAAAAAAAGAACACCACTTGTGGGGGCCGAAAGCCCTACTGAGCAGGTATATACAAAAGTATGAAGGCTATTGCTTAACACATTGTAAGCCGCCCTGAGTCTCCGGAGAAGGACGGCATATAAATCGCACAAATAAATAAATAAATAAATAAATAAATAAATAAATAAATAAATAAATAAATAAATACCCACCATCCCGAGACCTCCCCAAGAAGACAGCTCTTTGGTTTGTAAGGATATTAGCGAAAAAATGAGGATTTTCAGAGAAGCAGAAAATCTTCCTTCCTTCCTTCCCTCCCTCCCTCCCTCCCTCCCTCTTCCTTCCTTCCTTCCTTCCTTCCTCCCTCCCTCCCTCCCTCCCTCCCTTGCATTCGCTCACTCACTGAAATCAATAAATAAACATTGCCAAAATTCAGCCATTTTGCTTGAAAATCTAGTGTCCCAGTCTGGGGGTGCTAAGTGTGAAACTGGGGCCACAGGCTGTGAGCCTCTCATTAGATAAAAAGTAGATAATGCAGGCAGGTCAACTTATACCCTGAACTATTAATCATAGTTATATAAAAATAATATACTACAGTGTGATGTGCCCAACATGTTGACCACAATGTTATTGTCATTGGTTTGAACTGTACCCTGAAATTCTACTTTTGCGTCTATTTGTCTCATGTTATTTTCATTTCCTGCTGTAAGCTCCTTATGAAATACTGGCTAGAGGTGTTAAATAATCAAAGGAAGGTGGCAATAATTTAAGGCACAGTTCAATTTTCACTTAAAGATAGCTCATAATTCTTTCCATTGGTGCAATCTTTACAATTCTATTGATCCATTTCATTTCTGTAGGGGTCGTCAAGAGAAAACCCATTTATTGGACTTTCAGAAGGAGCAAATAATGAGACCTGGAGCAAATAAATAATAATTCTATGTGGATTGTTCAAATAATAAAAGATTCCTTAAATTCCAGTATATGAGCCACTGTAACAAATTCCTCCCAAGTCAGTCTCTTTCCAAAGTTTATACTTTCCATCTCCTTAACAAGGAGTATTTTTCTATCTAGTAAAAAAATGGATAGCGGTATATTTCAAATAGTCAATATTATTTCACTATTTGAAATTACTGTTTGAAAAGTACTGTTTCAATATTTGAAATAATACATTTCAAATGGTTTTTTATAATATGTCACCATATTATAAAAAAAAGATGTGAAGACTCTAGAAAGAGTGCAGAAAAGAGCAACAAAGATGACTCGGGGGCTGGACTGGAGGTTAAAACGTATGAGGAACGGCTGCAGGAATTGCGTATGGCCAGTCTAGAGAAAAGAAGAATTAGGGGTGACAGGATAGTTGGGTTCCAATATTTGAGGGGCTGCCACAAAGAAGAGGGGGTCAACCTATTCTCCAAAGCACCTGAAGGCAGGACAAGAAACAATGGATGGAAACTAATCAAGGAAAGAAGCAACCTAGAATTAAGGAGGAATTTCCTAACCGTGAGAACAAGTGGAACGGCTTGCCTTCAGAAGTGAGTGCTTCATCACTTCATCTCTTTTAAGAAGAGACTAGACAGCCACTTGTCTGGAATAGTATAAGGTCTCCTGCTTAAGCAGGGGGTTGGACTAGAAGACCTCCAAGGTCCCTCCGAACTCTGTTATTCTGTTCTGGTCCTAATCATACAGTACCTAGTGCTCTTATGTTCCTTCTCTCTTGGTTTTAACATCTGGACCAAGGTTTGGAATAAGGTTTTAACATCTGGACCGAGTTACAGAACGAGAAGGACTAAAATGGAAAATAAAACCTTCACATTTTTCTCCTCCAGATGATCGAGGCCCTCAGTCAGCTGATTATAGACAACCCAGAAGTGCAACGTTGGGTGTTCAAGATGGATAATGAATTTGGGGGAAATGGGACTGCCTTTTGTGACATCGCTAAGCATCTCAAGTGCTACGCTTGGATTCTGAAGGAGCATCATCGATACGGACCAGAGATGTGGAATAAAAGATGGGCTCATGTAAGTCACTTTGGATTGCCTAAATTTTGAGCAGGTGATCTCAAAAAGCAAAGCCTAGAAGGGAAAGTCCAGGTGATTCTTCTCCTTCCAGGCTGTCGGTTCTGGATCAGTCACCATTAGAACCTCTTCTAATTGTAGCAGATATCAGTTTGATAAATATAATAATTTATCAGGAATTCAGTGGTAACTATTTTCAAACAGTGCTTTGATTAAGGACAAATCAGGTTGATAGGTTGACCTCATGTTCTGGCATCTTAACCAATATTAATAATATATAAACCATAGTGACATAATATTTTGTGGAATAAGAATTCATGCTTGTATACTGAAGTTCTTGCAAGCGTCTACTAAAATAAATTTGTTAGTCTATATAGACTATGCCGTATTTTTAAATCTTTGGGCAGAAAAGAACAAAAAGTGTCAGCACTTCAAGCTGCATTTACTCTAGTGCTGACATAAGGAGAAGCGGAGGCATCTGGAAAGGGACGCTTGACTTTTCACCTACTTATTTTCCCTGGAGATAATATCCCCTAGGAGATGGGATGGGAGGGGGGAAATTCCTTTGAGCTGGAGCAGTAGATTAAGGGTAGAGTGACTTGGAAGATGGCCAATGAGTGCAGGGGAGTGGGGAACGAAAAGGGAGGGTTTTGGGTCTGGAAGTCAGTGTTGGCTGCGATGCAGTCAGAGTTAGAATGTCATGCTAAATAAATGGGAGTTTTCTTCAAAGACTTTGTTTGAAATGCAATTTATTTGAGACGACCTCGAAACCTGACAAAAAGCTTTATGGAAACACAATAGAACTTTATGCAACGTATTAAAACAATGCACTGTTTACTCCCTGAATACTTATCTGAACTTCTGTGTCTTAATAGAAGTATCCTCTTATTTACCCATCATGCATTTTATCCCAGTCATGAATCCCAGTGCTCAACTCCTACTGCAGATGCTTTTTCCAAAAGGCAGCTGCACTTTCTTGGGGTTTTTTCCTTCGAAAACGTTTCGCTTCCCATCCAAGAAGCTGGCTCAGTTCCAGCTGAAGACACCCATGACTCAATTGATTGAGAATCTCCATAGGCAACTCCTGGAGTATTTCATCCTTCTCTTCCTCTAGTCTAGAGGTAGTCCTCAGGTTATGACCCTCAGTTTGGGGCCAGAATTTCCATCGCTAAGTGAAGCAGTTGCTAAACAAAACATCATATGATCGCCACAGTTCCAGCAGTCCCCGTTGCAGTGGTTAGGCCAGGATCTCGTGCTTCTCTGCCCTGCACAAACTGCCTCTGCTTCAACTCCTCCCTCCATACCTATTCTCCCCCCCTCCCAGCTCGCATTGGAAGCTCTTGACCCTTTGCGATGCCTTGCAGGAGGAAAGCTGGCTAAGCAAGCAGATGAAGCACTGGGCTCCCCTCCCTCCCTCTCTGAAGCCCACAGGCTGGTTCTCCAGAAAAGCTTCTAAGACGAGCTAAAGAGCGCCCACTGTGCCTTTATCCCTCTGCACCCTTCAGTTCTGCCACCACCACAAACCTTGATTCTCACACAGCTGCCACCTTCACCCAAGGAGCCACCACTGCTCTCCATCCCACCCCACCATGCTGTCCACAGTCTGTGGGCTATCGCTCCTCGTGCCAGTAATGGAAGACAGGGGTCTTTCACCCACACCACCACCCCACCTCCTTCCCCGGCTCCATCCCGCTGCCTCTCCCCTGGCTGGGCCTGGCAAGCTCCCTGAATCAGATGAAGCTCCACCACCCTGAAATGCTGGCCAGACATATCTTGGGTTGCACCCTCAGCCAGCATTTGGATCCTGGGCTAGTAGCAGGACGAAGAAGACAACGAAGGTGATATCTGGTGGCAGTTGGGTCAATGGGCAGGTGGTGAACTCCAGGCTGGACAAAAAATGGGAAGATGGCAGGGAGATAGGTAGGCATGGAAGGTTAAAACAGACAGGAGAACATGACTGGGGGAGGCTGTGATCAGTTAATCAGTTCAGATTGGTCACCAAATGCCCAAATTTTGATCACGTGACTGCAGGCTTCTTCCACAGCCAGAACTTTGAGAGCTGGTTGTAACTACCATTTGTTCAGCACCTTCTTAACTTCAAACAGTCACTGAACAAATGGTTGTAACCCAAAGACTTCCTCTATTGTTATTGCTCTACTCTGAAGGTCTCAGTAGTTTCATTTGCTTACTTATTGCCTCTTGTGCAGGCCGTGATTTTGGCCATTCCGAACTTCCAGAAACTAATCAGAGGTTGAGTATAGCCCACCCTAGACCCTCTTTTATGTCCCAGGTACTAGCCCGAATTGAACCAAAGGAATCCGACAGAAGAACATAATTAAATTGGGGTCATTCTAATGCAGCTTTTAGTGCAGTGCATGAGAGTGCTAAAAACGATCAGCCACAAATTGGAAAAACGAACAAACAAACCATATTATAAAACTGTTATGGAATAGAAATGAATGGCGGAAAAATAAATTGCAGAAAATGAATTGCACTGCTTGGATCCGTTGGTCTCTAAGTTGAGGTTCTTGGTGGATCTCTGTGAACTGACAATGGAAACAACACGTCCAGGTGCAGAATTAAAGTGAGATTTGGCAACCTGAGCTTCCAAACTCATAAAATACTTGGTGATGCTGCCCACATTTTGCTAATGTCTTTTTTTCTGCTGTTGGGATGTTGAGGTTGAAAGATTCAAAATATAGAACATATTATAGTCCGGGAAAGTAATGGGGGGAAAAAATCGGCAAATAAATTTCCATCCAGAGGATTCACAGATTTCAAGAGTTTAAGCCACTTAGGGTTTGATGTCAGTAATAATTCTGTGCTGAAATTAATAAAGTTGGAACTTTATGTATCTATCCTTGCAATAAATACATACAGTAGAAAACAACAAACCAATCCCAAGGACAATTGTAGAAATAAAATATCTGCATTAACAAAGTTAAGGTACATTTTCTTTTTTTAATACAGGTGGCCAAGTTGGAAAATGTTAATAATAATAATAATAATAATAATAATAATAATAATAATAATAATAATAATAGGTTTAGGTTTAGGTTTTATTTGATTTGTATACCGCCCTACTCCCGAAGGACTCAGGGCGGTGAACAGCCAACAATAAAATACATAAATACACAAAATTTAAAAACCCGATAAAATCAAATTAAACTTTTTGGCCCAGACAAATTAAAATACCCCAATAATTTAAAAACAGATTAAAATTTACATATTTTAAAAAGGGAAGAGATCAGGCCAAGCCCGCTTGATGGAATAAAAAGGTCTTCACAGCACGGCGGAAGGAACGCAGATCCGGGATCCTCCGTATCTCCGGGGGGAGCTCATTCCAGATGGTAGGTGCCCCCACAGAGAAGGCTCTCCCCCTAGGGGCCGCCAGTCGACACTGTTTGGCTGACGGCACCCGGAGGAGTCCCTCTCTATGAGAGCGTACTGGCCGGTGGGAGGCTATTGGTGGTAGTAGGCGGTCCCGTAAATAACCAGGCCCTAAGCCATGGAGCGCTTTAAAGGTGGTAACCAAAACCTTGAAGCGCACCCGGAAGACCACCGGGAGCCAGTGCAGCTCGCGCAGGAGAGGTGTTACATGGGAGCGCCATGTCGCTCCCATTACCACCCGCGCGGCTGCACTCTGCGCCAGTTGGAGCCTCCGGGTGCTCCTCAAGGGGAGCCCCATGTAGAGAGCATTACAATAGTCCAGGCGGGAGGTGACGAGGGCATGAGTGACCGTGCGTAACGAGTCCCGATCCAGAAAGGGACGCAACTGGCGAATCAGGCGGACCTGATAAAAAATCCTCCCGGTCACGGCCGTCAAGTGCTCTTCTAAAGACAGCCGTGAATCCAGGAGGACACCCAAGTTGCGAGCCCTCTCCGTGGGGGCCAATGATTCGCCCCCAATAGTCAGTGATGGCGTCAACTGGCTATATCGGGACGTCGGAAACCACAGCCACTCGGTCTTGGATGGGTTGAGCCTGAGCCTGTTCCTCCCCATCCAGATCCGTACGGCCTCCAGGCACCGGGACATCACTTCAAGGGCATCGTTGGGGTGATCCGGGGTGGAGATGTACAGCTGGGTGTCATCAGCGTACTGATGGTACTCCACCCCGAAACCACGGATGATCTCGCCCAGCGGCTTCACATAAATGTTGAACAGGAGAGGTGAGAGGACCGACCCTTGCGGCACCCCACATATGATGGGCCTCGGGGTCGACCTCTGTCCCCCTGTCAACACGGACTGCGACCGGTCAGAGAGAAAGGAGGAGAACCACCGCAACATGGTGCCTCCCACCCCTAACTCTTCCAACCGGTGCAGCATGATACCATGGTCGATGGTATCAAAAGCCGCTGAGAGATCTAACAGGACCAGGACAGAGGAGCACCCCCCTGTCCCGAGCCCTCCAGAGATCATCAACCAACGCGACCAATGCCGTTTCTGTGCTGTACCCGGGCCTGAAGCCCGACTGGAACGGATCCAGATACGTCGTTTCATCCAGGTGCTGGGGAAGCTGTTGCGCAACCACACTCTCAACAACCTTTGCCACAAAACGAAGGTTGGAGACCGGACGATAATTTACCAACATTGCCGGGTCCAGGGAAGGCTTCTTGAGGAGAGGCCTCACCACCGCCTCTTTCAAGGCGGCAGGAAAGACACCCTCACCCAGCGAAGCATTTATAATCCCCTGGAACCAGCCTCGTGTCACCTCCCGAGAAGCCAGCACTAACCGGGTCCAATAAACAAGTGGTCGCGTTCAGTCTACCCAGAATCCTGTCCACGTCCTCAGGGGTCACAGGATCAAACTCATCCCAGATAACATTCTCAAGACCTGCCCCAGTCCCTCCCCCTGAGACTATCCAGTCGGAGTCCAGATCTTCCCGAATCTGAGCGATTTTGTCATACAGATATTGGACAAAATCCTCGGCTCTACCCTCCAAGGGGTCCTCCCGCGCTTCCTGGTGGAGCAGGGAGCGGGTCACCCTAAACAGGGCGGCCG